TGGGAGGGTGGGCGCCCCGGGCGCGGCGCGGCGGGAACGGGGGTGCAGGGGACGGGCCGCACCGCCCGCAGCTCCGGCCCCAGCGCCTCCCCTGCGGGCGGGGCCCGAGCCGCCCTGTCCGGTGCGGGGCGGTGCGGGGCGGTGCGGGGCGGTGCCGGGCCGGGCCTCCCGGGAAGGACCCGCCGGGAGCCCCGGGCCCTGGGCGCGCTGTGCCCGCTTCTGTGCTCTGGCCTCTGCGCCCATCACTTCCCTCTCCAGCGTCCAACAAGCCAGAGCGCCTCCGGGGACTCCCCCTTTCCCCTGGGCAACCTCGTGGCACCCATGGCCCCCGACCTGCTGCTCACCGGTGCACCTGTGCCAGCCCGCCTGTGACGTCACCCGCCTGTGACATCACCCACATGTGACATCACCCACCGATGACATCACCTGCCTGTGACATCATAGGCAGGTTTCTCTGCAGAGCGGGCGCCTTGTCCATCAGGAGTCGGGACCAACAATCAGTCAAAAAGGAAGGTCCCACGTGGCACCAGCACCCGCGTCTCCTGTGCCCCGCCTCACCCACCCCGAGCCTCGGTTTCCCAGCGGCCGCGGGGGGCCTGGAGTGGGCACGCCGCCATCACTGAGCGGAATGGCGTCTCCCGGACGCAGAGCCTCTGAGCTGCGCGCGCGCACACACACACACACGGATCCAGGCGTCAGTGGAGCCCCGTGCGGGGCCCAGGCTTCTCCTCACACGGCCACTGATCCCGTTACACAGCCGGGAGCATCCTGAACGCGAACCTTTGTTCTCCTCTGGCTCTAAGCCTCCGGCCGGCTCTGTCTGCGCCCTGATGAGGCACCGCCACCGCTCTCTCACCGCCTGCCTGTCGCCCAGCCTCGCGGGGACCGGGGACGGGACTGGTGACGGGACAGGCCCCGTGCTGCACTGGGAGCAGTCTGGGAGCCGGGCCTGGCACCCACCAGCTTCCTGACCTGGAGAACTTCTCCTCCATGCTGAGATCAGGTGGGCGCCACCTGCCTTCAGGGTGCTGGCTGGGAGGCGGGCGCTGAGTGCCAAGGGCAGTACAGGCGGAACCCGGTCAGCTCGGTGGATGGCGCCGAGCGAACTGGTGACGCCGCTGAGCCAGCACTGAGCGTGTCACAGGCTCAGCCGAGGAGCCGCGTTCTGAGGACACGTGAGAACATGCCATCACACGCCTGCTGGGCGACCGGGAGTGTTCTGTTCTCCGACCTCTCACAGCCGTGAGCATCGTTTAGAAGTGACTGCCAGCTCTCGGACGGCCCTTCTCCCCACACGCCCTCTGCTTACAGTTAAACTGGAATTGGCCAGACTAACAGCCAGTCTGCGATGCCCGAGTTCTGTGCCACAGCTTCGCTTTATTTCTGCAAAGATAACTGCGGTTTGTTGACCCGGAATTCCTCAAAATTGTCCTTTTTCCGATTGCAGTCACCTTCGTGTTGCTGTGTGTGGGTCTCGGGGTACCATGGGGGGTGGGGGTGGGGTGAGCATCTGCCTCCTGCCCCGCGTGCCGGAAAGGCTGTGGGAGCCTGTGCTTGCCAGGCCCTCCCCACTCCTGCCCTCCGCCCTCCCGCCCTCCCCGCTCCCGCCCTCCCCCCTCCCGCCCTCCTCCTCCCCCTCCCTCCCCCCTCCCGCCCTCCTCCGTGGGCAGCGGCCTCGCTGCTTCTCTGCACGCGGTCCTGGCCGCTCGGCGTAAGCACCGCCTGCCTTGGGGGAGCAGGCTGTGCTGGGCAGCCCGCCGTCTTCCTCCGGTTACCTGCCCCCTGCCCTCGCGTCCGGGCGTCCCACTGGCGTGTTTTCCACAGCAGGCTGTGCCGTGGACCCGTGGCGACTCGGGGGGAGGAACACGCCAATCACGGTGTGTGCTGCGGGAGGCGGGCGGGGAGTAGAGCTCCAGGGGATGAGCGGGAAGAGCCTGCGCTGGGAGAGCGGACGTGCTCCTGGTGAATTCCGAGCTGTGAGCCCGTTTCTCCAGGGCTGAGGGGGCATTAGTGCGGGCGGAGTGCCGGGCGCCGGGCAGGAGGTCCAGAGGCCGGGTCACGGGCACACGGGCCAGCCTGCCGCTGCCTGTGGCCTTTGCCTGCGGCCCCGGAAAGAGGGAGGACTCTGTCTACTCCAGTTCTACCCCAGCATCTCCTGCTGGAGCACCGGTGTCTGCTGAAGAGCCAGCCCTGGATTAGCGAATAGAGGGAGAAGGGCCCTGGCTGAGGAACCTCCCTCTCATTGGGGAGACAGCGCGTATATATACGCTCAATAGCCTGGTGTCCCTTCCAGAGGAGGAGCCTGAGGACGCCTGAGGAAGCCGGGGAGTCTGCCGGAGGAGGGGGTTCCCGTAGCCCGGAAGGCGTGCAGAGTTGGTTTGGGCAGGGAAGGGGGCAGGGTGCTGGTGGAGAGGGGGCGGCAGGGGTGGTTCAGCTCCCGGGAAGGCAGGGGGACCCCAGGAGCAGGAGCCGGCTGTGGGGAAGGTGCAGCGTGATGGGAGAGGACATGTCTTTGGATTGGTGAGCAATCCAATGGATAAGAAGCAGGGCTGGACCACGTCTGAGGTACCCATCCCTCTGCTCCCCTCACAGCCCAAACCACTGCACCGTCAGCCATGGAGCCGGAGCTCCAGCTGCTCCTTAGGACTGGGGGGTCTCACGAGAGAATGGTTAAATTCTCAGTAGCACACTCCCTGAACTCGTGGTGCTGTGACCGAGGGTCTGGGAGGGTTCGGACTGTTTTCTCATGTCTCCCACAAGAGGGACGGCTCTTCCAAGTCTCCAAATGATCTGTGCTTCCGCCTGGGAGGGCCCGTCTGTGCCCGAGCTTACCACTCTTGTGATGTATTATTTACGCCTCCCGCTTGTTCTAAACGGCTGGGGCGGTTTCACTGCTTAACAAGGAGGCTGCTCTGGAGTCTGCAGGGACGGGGAACCCTGCCTCTACCCTTTAGTCTCACTGCCCGGCCGCGGAGCAGCCTGTGATCGATTAATGGGAAACCATTTAACCGACGGTGCTCCTCTCTCAGGGGCTCACGCAGGCAGGCCTCACCGCCGTCCTCCACCGCCAGCGAAGAGGCTGGGAACGCGGGCTGGCGGGGGTGGGGGCTGGGGCGGGGGGGCCAGGGGACGTGTAATAAGCAGGGTGGGTTAGAGCAGCGCTCGGCGGCCGGTGGCTGTGGACCACGGGCGGCCGCTGGGTTAGGGGCTGGCTCGGTCTGAGAGCGGACACGGCTTTGCAGAAGGGAGCGGACAGCCGATGCTGGAACCAGGGGAGCAGAGGCTAGCTGCCTTCAGAACAGCCCTTCAGCCAGGTGGCGGGCTGTGGGCGGCCAGCTCTGTACCCTTTAGTTCTCCGTTTGCAGCTTCACTGCCCAGAGTATGGCAGGTGTCCCCGGCTCCCCCTCCCCCCAACCTGCCCCCGCCCCGCTGTCCCTGTGCTTATGGGCCGGGCAGTGCTGTGCGCACGGGGTCTTGGGTCGGTCCTTCCTGTCTGCTGAGATTCGTGTCTGTCCCGTGTCCGTGCCTCTGTTTCTGTTTTGTTCATCAGCTTATTGTTCGTGAGATTCCACCTGTGAGTGAGACCGTGGGGCACGTGTCTCTCTGCCTGGCTTATTTCACTCAGCACAATGCGCTCCAGGTCCCTCCATGCTGTCTTAAAGGGCAAGAGGTCCTTCTTTTTCTCAGCTGCATAGTGTTCCATGGTGTGCAGGTATCACAGCTTTTGCATCCACTCATCTGCTGATGCACTGAGGAAGGCTGTTTTCAGATCTCGTTATCAGCTATAAACATGAGGGAGCACATATCCTTTCTGATTGGTGCTTGCGTTTCTCAGGATGCATTCCCAGAAGTGGGCTCACTGGGTCAAATGGCAGGTCCATGTTTAATTTTTTGAGGAAACTCTGTGCTATCCATATGGTTTGAGGTTGGATATAAAGTGCACCACCCTGGTATGGGACTCACTGCCCGGACGTGGACAGGGACAAGAATAGAGGATTCGAGAACACTTAGCCAGTGTGGCTCAGTGGCTGAGCACCAAACCATGGCCTGGGCGGTCACGGCTGGACCCCCGGTCAGGGCCCAGCCCAGGTGGCAGGCCGGATCCCAGCGGGGGTGTGCAGGAGGCAGCTGCCTGACAACTTCCTCTCAGCAATGTTTCCAGCTCCCCTCCCTTCCTCTCTCTCCCAAACGTCAATGAAACATAAGCTGTGTCGGAGCTCTTCCCATCCTCTGATGCCGGCTGCCCGCCGGGACCAGCACGAGGGCCTCCCTCCCCCCTCACCGCTGCCCTGGCGCCCGGGCGGTGTCCGCCCTGCGATGGCGCGGACTGTCCCGGAGAACGGGCCTTTGTCTGCCCGGCGGCGGCCGCGCTGGCTGCGCTGTGTAAGGGAGCTCTGTCAGCGCGGGGCTCACTGCGCCCCGGGGCTCTGCACCGCAGTCACACGTGTGTGCTGGAGGCTCAGGAGAGGTGGCCAGTGCTGCCTGTCGCCCCAACTCCTGGGGTCTCCTGGGTCGCACTAGCAGCCCGGGTCTGGTGAGACCCCCAGGTGCCCAGCACTGGCCCCTGGGCTGGGCCCACAGTAAGGAGCCTCCCGGGCACCCCCCCCAGCTGCAGGCGCGCTCGTGATGAGCCCTCGCCCCCTTTCTAACATCACCGGCCTCTGCAGTGGCCGCTCCCAGGGCGGTGCCTGCTCCCGGGACGGTGCCTGCTCCCGGGACAGTTCAGTGCACTTGGAACTGGAGTTCAGTGCAGTTGGGAGCTTCCTTCTCCCTCCCGCCAGAGAAAGCCAGCCGGGCACTCAGCCGCCCTTCCTCTCTGCGTGCACGTCTTCGTACCTCAGTCCTCTGCAGCTTCTCTGATTCTCCATGAGCTTTTCTCTTTTCTTCTAGTTACAGAATTTCCACTCAGCCAGCTTTCTTGTGGTTCTGGATGATTTCTGTTCTGTCTTTTAGCTGTAATTTTGAAATTGTTGTGTGAGGCAGCAGTTTAGGTGTTCACCTATGCCGCCATCTTGGTTTCTCTCAATAAAGACTTTTTAAAAAATGGCATACTGTGGTGTTTGTCTGCCCCGGCTTGTAGTACCTTGTGTAAGATCCCTGCTGAGTGAGAAAGTTCAAACACAAACCCCGCCAGTCCTCACAGGAAGTGAGGTTGCCACAGCTGAGCTGTCAGCAAGGGCGTCTGTGCCCCGGGAACTTCCTTCACAGGCGGTGGCGAGAATGGCCCGGAGCCCAGCAGGGGTCGGTCCCAGTGGCCACAGGGAATCGAAGCTAGGAGAGCCGGACTGCGTTTTCCGTGTCATCAGCTTTTCAAGATCTTGGACCAATGTTTTCCTCTTTGGTCACTGGCCACTCCCCTGAGCTCTTGTCCTTGTTTCTGTTGATAGAGCAGTCTTCTGCTCACCTGGAGGACGTGTGTGCTAAGGGCTAGGGCTGTGTGCTGGCGCCGTGTCTGTGCCCACGCCTTCACCATGAAACTCCTTTCTCTCAACAGGCAGACCCCACGTGAAGCAGGGAAGGAGCGCGATCAGGTGGCGGGGCAGCGAATGTCAGCATCCTGTGGACAGGAGCTTCCTAAGATGCTGCTGAGGTAGCCAGGCCTCGAGTCGCCGTCCACGCAACATGGGCTGCATGAAGTCCAAGCAGGCTTTCCCGTTCCCCACCACCATCGAGAGGTGTGCGCCCACCCAGAGGTGTGAGCCCACCCAGAGGAGTGAGCCCACCGAGGGGAGTGAGCCCACTGAGGGGAGTGAGCCAATCGAGAGGTGTGAGCCATTGGAGAGGTGTGAGCTGTGGGTGCCGTCACCAGTCACCAAGGAAGGGGAGGAAGTGGAGGAAGTGGTGGAGGTGGAGGTGGAGGTGCAGGAGGTACAGGAGGAGGTGCAGGAGGTGGAGAAGGTGGAGAAGGTGGAGGTGCAGGAGGTGAAGGAACCCGCAGGGCCCAAAATCGTGGTGAGCCAGTTCGCGAACCGCCTGTCGCACGAGATCCTGAGCGGCGCCCTGCAGCAGTGGGTGGACAGCAACGCCAAGTACGCGGACATCCCGTTCATCGAGAGCGAGGGCCTCTGCGCGGCCCAGCGGTGACGCCGGTGCGGCTGCGGGCAGAGTCGGTGCTAGTTTACTTACGTGAACCAGAGCAAAGCGTTGTATGAATAAACACATGTGACTCCATTCCACGCAAAGACCAGTCCGTGACGACAGCAGGAGGAGGGCCCTGGTGGAAGGTGGCGGCCACAGGCCCTCTCTGCGCGGTGGGGGTCGGGCGGGAGGGCCAGCCACGGGCCTGTGGTCCTGCCGCCCCAGGACGCCCAGTGCAGCACTGTGCCCGCACAGGGCGGCATCGCCAACCAATGAAAGTGCGTCGTGCTGAGACGCCCTGAAACCACGAACACCTGCTGCTCACTTACCCAGCGCCCCACGGCAGGGAGGATGGTTCTGGAAATGCCCTGGCGACGGTGGTGCTCACATCACGGTGGTCAGCGGTCAGACCGCGTGGCCGAGGGCACCCGTCTCTCACCAGCACCCGTGTTAGGAGGCGGCTCCCCGGGAAGCCTGTCCCTCACCGACGCGCCCTGGCCGGGCTCGGCGGGCGTCGTGTCCACCAAGGGCTGCGGGCTGACCCCGTCAGGGCTCACACCTCTGCTGTGTGTTCAGTCCGGGCGGGGCGACCAATGCGTTTCTCCCTTCCCCTTCTTCCTCTCTGAGAATAGAGGCATCCTGGAGCGAGGGCCAGAGAGACAGGATGCTGGGCTTCCACCTGCGACACGCTCCGCCCCGAACCTCAGGGCCCTCGGCCGCCCGGAGCAGGTGGCTCAGCCGTCCCGGGAGCATGTCCGGAGGCACGGCTGCCCAGGTCCTGGCTACGTTCCGGGCACAGAGCCCCGCCCCGCGGACAGACCGCACAGGACCAGCCGGGCCTTCGGAGACGGCGGCGGCCGGGCAGGCCGGGCGGTGCTGTGTGCGCCCGCTTCCTCCCACGGGTGCGGGCTGGAGGCCGCCCTCGCGCACTGACCTCGGCGCTCGCCGTGTACGGACTGTTCCACAGGTCTGGCTTCTCTCTAAAGAATCAGCCGTGTGCGATCCGGTGACACAGGGGGGGACGGCGCGGAGACACAGCTGTGGGGAGGCGGGCTGGGCCTCCGGACGGCCTTTCCGGACCGCCCTGCTGGGGGAACCGGAGCGCTGAGCCCGGGAGGCCTCGTCGGTCCCAGGGGCTCGTCTGTCAGGAGCCTCGGGAGGGAGAGGCTGTGGCTCCGGAGAGGAATCCGCGCAGCGGCCAGCGGGCCGCCCTCACCCACACTGCGCTGAGCCCGGCCGAGCTCAGGGTAGGGTCTGTGACGGCGTGACGGGCCACCCACTGCCCGGGACGCCATCACTCACCCGCCTGCCCGGCCCCAGGAGCTCGTCCAGCTGCGCAGGCGCCGTCCCGCCCGGCAGGGTCCCCGGAGGACGGTGAGGCGCTGAGTGTTCCCAGAAGCTGCCGTTTCCCTCCTCCTCCATCGCCTCGGGACCCCGCGCACAGGCCATTCGCCGAAGGATGTTACCCAGACACAGGCTCTGAGAACACAGGGCCCCGGCCCCCGCACACCGCACACCGCACCGAGGCCCGCTGCGGGCCGGGCGTTCTAAGCACTGCCCTCCGCCTCCTCCGCCCGGCGCACGGGAGAGCCACCCAGTCCCCGTCGCTGAGTGTGATCTCTGCACGGTGCCACCTCCGACCCCCCGACCCCACGGCCGCGCACCCTGGCCCCTGGGAGACGCCCTGCACCCAGCCGCCCGGGGGTGGGGGATGGGGGAGAGGCTGCGGCTGGCACAGGCATCGGAGCAGCGGGAGGGGCGGCAGACAGGCGGAGGGACGAGACCCTCCGCAATAGGGCCGTTCAGGCTCCTTCAGACCCTCACCCTCCAATGTTAGCTTACTTCCCTGTGAAGGGAGAGGGCTGCCTGAGGGAGGATCGGTCACTGCAGAGGGAACATCTGCTCCAGCCGGTGGCACACCACAGTGAGGGAGGGGGGCGGGCAGAGTGCGAGAGCAGCATGGACACCAGCTCCCCAGTGTCCCCCGAGGACAGGCCAGTGCCGGCCCAGGGCCAGCCGGAGACATCAGAAGGGAAGACACACTACAAACCCTACGAGCAGCCCCTCAGACAAGCCCTGACACCGCTTCCTGCCTCCTCCCTGAGTGACCGCGGCCATGGCCGCTCAGAGGCACTCTGTCTTCTTTGGCAAAACTCCCCCGTGAGACCTCGCTAGGAAGTGGAGTATTTTTCCCAGGTATTTTTGTGGGAACACTTTTTGAACTATACAATAAAAGTCTAGTTGCACTAACCAGCTGTGAGTTCTTACTGGACTTCAGTAAGCTGATGGTTTAGCACACACACTTGAACGCCGAGGCCTCAGTATTTCCTGCTTTTCTCAGACACTGAGCAGAAGCACTAACGCACGTGGCTGCGGGGCCGCGCGGGGCCACGCGGGGCCACACGGGGCCACGGAGCGCTGAGAGCAGGATGTTGGCGCGCTCCCTGTCCTGGCGCCTTCACTCCCGCTCTGTCCTCAGGTCCTGGGAGGTCCTCCCTGCCTCACTCCTCCGGCCGCACTCCCCGCCTATGGAAGGTCCAGGATAAAGCCTTGGATGTCATTTTCAGTTCCACCGCTTTGCTTTACAATATACATGCATACACACATATGTTAATTTCAGAGAGGAAGGGAGAGAGAGAAACATCACTGATGCGAGAGAATCGTGGTCGGCTGCCACTATTCCTACCACCATGGGATTCCGGGGGTTCCTGCCGAAGGAAAAACCAGACGAGTTACCACGTGAACAGCAGCAGATCTTAGCGGCGTTCCCACCTACACTCCAGGCCCCAAGCCTGGAGCCCCTGAGGGGGCGTGTGCCCGAGTACCTTGCCTTGTCAGCCGTCCAGTTCCTGAGGGGGTTCGATTCTGAGCGAAGCCCGAGTTCACTGCTCCCTCCCCACTGCACCGGGAAGGACCCACGGCAGGGCCCACATGGACGCTGGACACCAACTGCAGGCAGCGGGCAGCTCCATCCTGGAGTCTGGACGCCCCAGCTCCCACCTGCCGGCCAGCGGGTACGGCAGGGGCAGTGAGCCCGCCCTCCCTGGGGAGGGTCAGGGCCAGCGGGTACTGAGGGGGCAGTGAGCCCGCCCTCCCCGAGAAGGGGGGAAGGGAAGGAGGGAGCGGGCACTGCAGAGGGAAGGGACGGTCGCCTCCGTCTCCCCGGGGCGGGGAGGGTTAACTGTAGAAAACGCCAAGCTGAGTTAATAATACGGGGGAGGCAACTTCACGAAAGCCTTTCTCTCTGCCGAGGCTTCTGATGCTATAAAAAGAGCTTTTCTGTTACAGTCCCTCCGTCATTTAAAATAGCCTCACCACAGCGGAAAGCCTAGGAAGCATTAACACAGAGTCCAAAAAATGGCGTGTTTTATTTTGATCATCTGTACATGAGTTTACTTAATCAACATACAAACGCCTGCAGACCCTAGACGCAGGCTCCCGGCTCCCGGCTCCCAGGCGGGCGCCTTCTGCAGAGCGGAGTGACCCGAGGGGACGCACACCGCGCGGCGAGGCCAGCGGCGCCCCCCCTTCCCTTGCGGCCGCGGCTCAGAAGTGCCAGCTCCGTCCTTCCCCCGGGGCCAGCGGACGCGCCGCTCGCAGGCACCGGAAGCGGGCAGCGGCCAGACGGGCCGAGCCGCTGGCCAGCCTCGGTCCCAGGCCCCTCCCGGCGGCGCTTCACCACCTTCACCAGCGCAGGTCGCTGCTCCCCAGGGGCCTGAAGTGCCGGCTCACGTCCTCCTCGGTCACGTCCGCCAGGCGGGCCGGCTCCCAGCGCGGGCTCTGGTCTTTGTCTATCAGCACTGAGGGAGAGGGTCAGGTCACTGCTCCGTCCCAGGTCCCGGCACCGGGCGCCAGCCCTGCGGTGCCAGGCGTGGCTGTCCACGGAGCGGGAGTGTCTGTTCCTCTAAAAGCGGGCCCACAGGTCCCGGGGGGGCAGCCGCCAGCCGGGCCTCCGCCGCGGACCAGAGCCCGGCTGGAACCCGTCCTCCACAGCGGAGCCGGGAAGGGCCTCCTGCTGTGAAGCAGGGCCAGCGGGGCTGAGGGGGCCGCCTGAGGTGAGGGAGGACGGCTGAAGGGAGAGGAAGGGGCTCATGCCTGACCCAGTGTGGACCCTGACTCCTGTGGCCGAGTCCGAACACGACCGTCACCGGCATCATGAGGAGCCCCCATGGGTGCTGTCACCGGAGGGCGCCGGCAGGCCCCGGGGTGAGCGAGGCCATCTGCACAGGCCCTGCGGGTGCCAGCTTCCCGCTGACTCCGCGGCAGGCGCTGCCACATGGGGACGGCCGGGCAGGCAGCCTGTGCTCCTCACGCTGCATGGGAAGGGACAGTTGTCACAAAGCCCGGGTGGGGGAGGCGGGGGGCTGCATGCACATGGCTGTGGCGGGCATGTGAGCCATGCTAAGACGTGCACAGACCCTGTGAAGAGGGAATGCACCAACATGTGGGAACTAGACAGCGCCTTTGGGTTAAAGGTAAATGGTTAGAGCAGCCATCTGGGAACAAGGGAGCAGGCTGTGGGGGCAGGGGAAGGGGGGCATCATTAAACACGGGCCCGGGCTCTATTTGGCTGCCTGACTGCAGGCCCGCGTCAGCACGGACAGTGAGGGTGCTGAGCATGACGTCACCATCCCAGCCGACCTCGTGGCATGCAGCAGCCTGGGACATGCTTCCCGCCAGGCCCGGCCTCGGCCAGTGCTGTCTGCCGCCCGGTCCCTCCAGGCCAGGACAGAGTAAGAGCTCGGAGTCCGTCTCATTCCCGAGGAGCAGGCCTGTCACTGCAGGCGCGGCAGCCCGCATGGCTCCTCCGCCGCAGCTCGCTGCGCTGCAGAACAACCTGCTTCCTTCCCTCACGCCCGGAGCCGGTGGCTCCAGGTGCTGACAGCAAACATCTGACAGCCACTCCCCTCGTTTGCTCGTTTACTTACTCTGATGGCATATTTTTTAGTTAGCAGACTAACGCAAACATTTAGTTATACAAAACACCAAGCAGTTCTCCTGAGCATAGGCGCTCCTTTCTGAATGAAAAGGTTACGCTGGGAAAGGAGGGCCTATCCTTTCTCTTTAGTAAAAGGTAGACGAATAAAACCTGCATTATAACCAGAACTTAATGCTGCTCAGCTTCAGTGCTTTTTCCTTAGAATCCCTGCGAGTACCTGAAACAAGCCTGTCTTGTGAAGTTTAAGAAGGCTGCTCCCATGAAATGAAGGCTTTGGCGGCATAACCCAAGCACCACAGACCCTCCTCACACCAGAAGCCCGGCTCTGACCCCGCCGCTGGGAACTGGGGGAATGCCATTTCACTCGGCTTCTGTACGACCTAGCACCTCCTCAGCTCAGCCCTGCGCCTGGAAGAGGGAGTGAGCCAGGTCACTGTGCTCCGCTGTCCGGCCGCAAGCTCAGACAGTTCCGCCAGCGCACCGGGCTTACCGAGGCCAGCTCCGAGAGCACAGCGCTGTCAGCCAGGGCACAGCCCGTCTCACCACATGAGAGTGGTCAGTAAAAGCACGAGAGAATCAGATGTGCAAAGTGCACACAGAGGGAAACTCACAGGAGTAACCGCTATGGTTTTTAGGGACATGGCATGTGCATCAAATTATTGCAAATGTGCTAGAATTGAAAAAAAAAAATCAACCATTTGCTTCTTCTAATTATACTGGCTTTGAAGATGATAAGCAAAAACAGGAATAAACAAAAACAGTCACATATTTTCTAATTATGTCAGGAGGGAGAAGGGAAGGAGAGGGGAGAGGAGGGCAGGGAAGGACGGGAGGGAGGGGAGGGAGAAGGGAAGGGAGAGGGCAGGGACTGAGGGCTTGATGTGGAATAAACGCACCTCTCTGAGCTCCAGCAGCAGAATGAGTGACAAGCTCACACTGCCTCTGCCCGGGCCTTTAAAAGCAGGTGACCTCTTACATATCAGTGAGGGAGCAGTGAGCCGGTCGTGTAAATTTTTAAAGCAATATCGGATGCAATGACTTATCTCCCCATATGCCCGCTGGTAATTTTTAACTCTTTGCAATCTGCACAAAAGCCTAGTTTTCACTGTAAGACAGCAGCCATCTCGGACACAGTGTGCGCTCCCAGGAGAGCCAAAGGAGCCACTCACCTGCCCTGACGCCTTCAGGAAAGTCGTGGCCTCCCTGGAAGAGGAGAGGAGGGAGAGCTGGTGAGGCCTTGCCCCGGCACGCCCCCCGCTGAGCTCCCCCTCCCGGGCCACTGCTGGCCACAGCATCGGCGCGGACCGCCCCCCACCGCCCCAGTGTCCCCGCGCCCCAGCCGCCCGGCCCGCGGGTTTGTGTTCCGTGATGGCTCCGTCCTGGGCACGCTCCGCAGTGAGCACACGCTGGCTCGCAGCCTCAGACGCCAACACTCAGACGATCCTCACCACACACGCCTGGCTCAGCCGGTACTCCATGGTCAGCACGTCCTGCAGGGACTTGGAGGAGCCCTCTGTGAGCTGCCGCAGCGTGATCTTGAGCGACGTTGGAGACATCTTACTGATCACCTGTTAGGGAAGCGTCTGCCGGTTTCAGACCACAGTTCCTTTACTGTCTGTGACAGACAGCTGAGCGGTGGAATAAACGGTGTTAAATGTGCTCCCTCACACAGCACTCAGATGGCGGTCCCAGCAGCGTGCGGCTCCCCTCGGCTAATCCTGTCCATGCGCCAAGCGAGGTTTTCTAACCCGTGGCCCCCAGCAGACTCCTCTCCAATGGAGAAGGGCTCCTGGGAGGCCACTCAGCATTGTGCCATGTGTCACCTCTGGGGACACTGAAACCACACGTGTGTTTAACGGTCAGTGAGAATGCTGAGAACATGCTGTCTCCCGTCAATCCTGGACAGAGGGACCCTGAGCTGTGAGGAGGTGGCAGCCCCTTGGCACACGGCCACGGCTACGCCCTGGACCCACAGAAGCACACAGGCCCCGGAGACGCCGGGGCGAGGAGCCAGCGAGAGGCTCTCAGGGACAAACACGGACCCTCTTCAGGTCTGCCACAACCTCTCGTCTGCAGACGCTTCACCCACACCAACGGCTCTTCTCCTGCAGGGCCTGGTGTTCCTGCTCCTCAGCCAGGAAGCCTCCTCAGGGTCTGATCTCACCCACGTCACATCACGTCAGGTCACGTCCGTCAGGTCACTCTGGAGCCACGCTCCCTCCCAGAGCTGCAGGTGGCGAGTGTGTGGCCCTGCTCTGCGTGCGGGGCGGTCACAGCCAGAGGAACAGAGGGCCGCTGTGGGCGTCCAGCCCCCCACCGGGGGGGAGGGTGCTAGTAAGGGGGGTGCCACTGAACTTCCGTGCTGCCGAAAGGGCACCAGACCACCGTCAGGCCCCGTGCTGCGTGGCTGCTGTCATGCGGAATTGCTAAGTGCACACTTAGCCACGCGCTAAGAACAAAACCAGGAATGCCAGTTCCTATACTGCTCTGAAACAGAGAGCCAACTGAAGTCACCATCCTTGAAATAGAAAATGATCGCCTCCATTTATGCAAACATTCCTAAAAGCTTCAATAACGTGAGTGACCTTTGTGGGGAGGGAGGGAGGCAGCTGTCCGCCTGCTGAGGGGGCCTGTGTGTCTAAAGCCTGAAAGCACAGGGCCTACCCTCCGTCACTCACACAGAGAGCGCCTCCCGCTGTCACTGTCGCCAGCTGGCCGGCTGCTCCCTCAGGCTGAGGACCTGCCTGGGGGCGGAGGGGGCGCTGGGCATGGCTGGACACGGGGCCTCCTGCTGGCTTAACCAGCTAACTGCCACGCGTCCAAAGTGGACACCATCCCCACACGCCACGATGTTTTGAATTAAAAAAATCAATTGGCAATGAATATTATAAAAAATATATTACAATTACTCATAATCCTGGACAGAAAGGGACCCTGAAAATTTTTCAGCTGAAAATTCTCACAAAAAAATGATTTTACAGTTGGTCAGGGCTGCCACTTAGGGAAAGCTGTTTTTCACAGACATGCGTGGTGTGTGGGGAAGGCCCCCCGCTGGCATTATGGCATACAATGGTTTAGAAAGTTTTCTTTTTTGTAATGAAACCTCCTGCTTACAAAAACCATGTATTGAGCTGCTGCTCCTTAGACAAACTTACAGGCCAATGTCACGGCTGCAAGGTGACCGTCTGCGTTGCCCCACCTTCGAATCCCCATGTCCCTTGTGCTTCCCGGACAGGAGGACCCTGGAAGGGAAGCGTGCCTCCTGGGGCCCCCGGGACGGCCACCGGCTGCCTTGGGCATCGGATTTGGGTGAGGTTTCGTGGGAATAACAGCAGTGTGCTCTGCCTGGCCCCCGGGAGGCCCCTGACCCAAGCACCCAGCCCGTGCCCCTGGCTTTACCTTCACCTGCTCCAGGGCAAAAGGCGAGCCATCTCGCTGTAGATTGTCAATAATCTGCTCCACACTGTCAGCGGAGAAGCAGCTGCAGGGAAGACAGGGATGGCACCTGTGAGAGCCCTTCCTCCTGACAGCCAGGAGCCTGAGCACAGCTCCCCCTACAGGCGGGGGAGAGACACTGCTCTCCTCCGGCAATGCACAGGGCCTCCTCTTTGGATCCTGCGTCTGTTACTGTGAGTGAACGATATCCATACTGGAAGAGTGTGCTTCTAACTGCAGAGACGGCTGTCCCATCTCCAGTAGTTTCCCTCCGCTGTCCTCTCTCAGACCCTCACTAACCCCTGGCCGAGGGGCTTGGCCCGTCAGACCTCAGGGAAAACGGCGTTACCAAGATAAAGGGAAGTGAATGCGGTAGTTTCCAGCCTCTCTTCCCACTTAAAGGCGGGGCGGCAGATGGCCCAAACGCCATGGCCTGGCTCCCCACAGCGAGGCCACGAAGCTGTTGTCACAGGTCAGTGAGTGACGGCTCTGTGCCGCCAGCTGCAGAATCGGGCGCGTGCTCAGCAGGACAGAACCCATCACAGGTCCCCGACAGCCTGGGAGCAGGAGGCCCGGCCTGAGTACCTGTTGATCATGCTCAGGTGCTCCTCCAGCACGAATGCCTTGTCCTCATCAATCTTGGACTGTTCGAAAAGAAAAACACTGACGTTAATTTGAAAAATTTGAAAAACACTGACATTAATCCTCCATCCGTGCATATTTACCGATACACTGAGTGACCCGCTTTCAGTCCCATTGCCCCCACAGGCTCCTGCCTGCTGCCTGCGTGTGCAAAGCCAGACCGTGTCTATGCCAGGCCAGCACCTGACAGGGTCAAGGCCAAGTGTCCCTGTGTTTTTATTTCCCGTCATCTATGGGCACATGACCGTTAAGCGTGTCAGGAAGTTCACGAACTGCAAGGACCTGGGAAGTCCTGCCCAGCCCCACGGGATGCAGGCACCCCGCCAGCTGCCCGCAGCCGCAGACGTAAGGCCTGGGCAGCTGCGGTTCGAACTGGCTTTTAATTCTGGGCCACAAGCTCTCATTTACCCTCCCCACCTTCCTCGTTCCTCACACGGCAGCGCGGGCCCCTCACAACCCGGGCCCCCCTCATGCACACGTTCCCCTCCATCAAGGCCATTCTCTTTTCTTTAATAAGCGTTCATTGACTTTAGAGAGAGGAAGGGAGAGGGAGAGAGAGAAAAGCATTGATGATGAGAAACATCAATCGCTGCCTCCTGCGTGCCGTCTCCTGGGGATCAAGCCCGACACCGGGCACGTGCCCCGACCGGGAAAGGAACGGGCGACCTCCTGGTGCGGGATGCTGCCCCACCCGTGAGCCACACCGGCCAGGCTCAAGGTCCTCCTTAGCGGGTGGACACAGACCTTTGCTGCAGGCGTGCTGAGCCGTGACACAGCACCGCATCAACGAGGGGACTCGTCCACAGCACTGTGTTAATGAGGGGATTCTCAGTCCCCGTCCCCCCGCCCCATAGCTCTGCAAACCCTTCCTCTGTGCTCTCCAGCAGGCTGCGCACACTCATTTAACCCACACCCCACAGTGCTCACCAGCCACTCCTCAGGCCCTCGCCCTTCCCCGGAATTAAACTTGAGGTTACCTTTGACAAGCTTACCTTTGTCTGATAACTTTCTAAGACATCTGCAATGTTTTCTGTGGAAGGAGACTTCAGGGATAATAGATCTTCTTCTAACAGGCTCAACTAAAGGTAAAAAATAACAATAATAAGGTAAAAAAGTAACAGTAACGAGATGCCAGAGGGGAGAGAATCTGCAGCTGCAGCCAATGGGCTGGCCCTCACAGCCGCGCAGAGGGACCTTCAGCTCTGTGCTTTTCATTTATGTAACATCCCTTTCTCTTCCCCTTCCCCAACACCTCCTCCCCCCCGCCCTCCGACTGCCACGTGCTCCCGAGGAGCCTGGTCCCACGGTCCCGGGAAGCGCTGGTGGGATGAGCGGGTCGGCTCCTCTGCCCCCGGCTCAGTGCCATCCGCCAACCCAGGGGGGCTCAGCCAGGTGTCCCAGAACAAACCCCAAACCTCTTGCTCGGATTTCTGAGACAAAATCGCCGTGAATTGGGTTTTCTGTTACATCTAACACAAGTAGTTTCAACTATTATGGTGAGACTGCCCCCATTCGGAGATGGGAAACGGGGTTGGGCGTGGGAGTGGGGCCTAAAGAGGCCATGGCACCTGGGAGTAACCCTGGCTGCTGGCTCTCTGTCCTGGCCACTGTGCTAAGGAAACTGGCGATGCTGTTTTTAAAAAAGACAAAGCAAAGACACACGTTAGGCCAAGTGCGTAAGACCAAATTGTATACATGTACCTTTTAATGAATCAGGGGAACTGACAACCAAGAGAACCCTTCAAAAACCTATAACAGCTGAAACCAGTGTGGCTCAGTGGATAGTCAGCCTGCGGACTGAAGGGTCCCAGGTTCGATTCTGGTCGGGGGCATGTGCCTTGGTTGGGGGCACGTTCCCAGTAAGGGGTGTGCAAGAGGCAGCTGATCGATGATTCTCTCCCATCGATGTTTCTAACTCTCTGTCCCTCTCTCTTCCTCTCTGTAAAAAATCAATAAAATATATTTTTAAAAAAAACACACAACAAAAACAAAACCCTATAACAATGAAAGCGTGATAGGCTAATTAGACGGGTCAGCCGCACGACCTTCCAGACGAAGCCGGGGCTGGGAGGACTGAGCCCCTTGCACGAATTTCATGCATCGGCCTCCAGTGTTTTTATAAAATAAAGGCCTACCGTTGTTTATGTAACTTTAGATTTTTATACGTTAGGCTTTCTTAAAATAGATTTCTGTACAAAACGTAATAATTCGTTTAAAACTATAACAGGAAGTGTCAGGCAGGACCACTCTGAATCCAGACCCAGTGCCTGCGTCCGTGCGAGGAGCCAGGCGGATCGGAGACTTCCCTGCGGTCACAGTGTAGGCAGAAGGCCCGGGCTCACCAAAGCCAAGGACCCCCCCGCCTCCCGCTCCCGGGAGAGTTCTTCCAGCAGCACAAGATGCAACGTCCCGCACTCACCTTTTCAGAGTCTACAAAGTGTGTGGCGATGCCTGCTCGGTGCACATCTCTGCCTTTCAGCCTGAACCCTGTCAATGCCAGGAAGTAACCAAGTCTCCCTGAAAGTCTTGGCAAGAAATAGCCTCCGCCCACGTCAGGGAACAGTCCTGAAATTAGATAACAGATGCCGGGGCTCGCAGGGAGGCGATGCATAGAACGTCCTTCGCTTTAGGCGGGCTGGCACTGAGGACAGCACGCGAGTGAGGACTGTGCTGGGCAAGGCCGAAGCGGGTACACAGCCTGGCCCGTATGCCATGTCTACCATCCAGTTAAAAACTGCCAGGCATCTTAAAAAGCAGGAAAATGCTGCCCATAGAGAGGTGGTAAAACAATCAATCAAAATGGAGCCAGAACCTCCCGCTGGCCACTCAGCTGTCAGAGCACTGTCCAGTCTGTTAGCATAAAGCTGTTCACATATTCCGTTTCCTAGCAGTCCAGATTACATTGTTATTGAAGAAATTAATGAACTCTTATGTGATGCACAGCGTAGTCAAAATAAGTGGAAATAACGTAATTATGAAAATGTGGGTTTGTTTACCTATTGCAGTTTCTGGCATTGCAAAGAGAGACTTTTCAGTAGCCACTCGGAAACGCCCGTGAACGGAGAGTCCGACACCCTAGGAAATAAGCCAAACATGTTTTAAAACACTGTAAGAGGATAAAACAAATGTATCCACTCAGAGTATTATAAAACAATAATCCTCTTCTCATCCCACAAGAACTGCTTCCAGGAGATGGCCTGACAGGAAGCCCTAACCCACAACCTCAGGAGACGGCTGGGTGGCCAGTGCACAGCCCCCCGGGTCTGCAATAGATTTGTTTAGCAGAAATGTTCTCACTCCCTCTCCTGCCATGCTTCTTTCCCCCACCTCCATTCCGAACGGAAGGCCTCTGGAGCTGTGACTACCCGGAACCCGAGTGCGCTTCATGGCACCAGCCGTCAGAAACACACAGCTATTCCAGGAAGCGCCCGCAGCTTTAAGGACAATGTGAGCACATCTTACTATGTTGAAGCTCCATCAGTAAAATCAGCAGAATCACTTTTCTCAGCTGCCATGGGGCCAAGCATGTAACTCTTGAGAACGGTTACTAAGACACACGTTCTAGAAAGTGAAAAGGCTGGCTGCAAGCCTCTGACCCAGTGTCACTGAGAAGGACACCTTAACAGGCATCTCTGAATAAAATGAATAAAGAGTATACACGTGATGGCAAAGTATCAGAATTTATGTCAGTGTTCACACTGTAACATACATTTCCTATGTTACATCCTTTTCACATTGTTCAAAACTCCCATTAGATTTAGTTCTCACTCTTAATCCTTTCTAACCAATGTACCTGTCTTTGACATCACACAGTTGAGTTAAAACATGTAAATTATCTGAACCAATGTCAAGTACTAGAGTTCTGTAAGTGTGAACTCATTGGAAAGAGCCTCATTTCTGATTATTCTAACTTTTCATTACATTTCCTCAGTTCAAGTTCAGCCATTTAAAAGCTCTTAAAATTTTTAGACCTTTTTCAGAAAATATTAAAAAACACATGCAATTTCCTATAAATTCTATGTACTACATGTCAATCTTATATTTTAAAAGACAATGGAAATGAATAAAATCCTTCAGTTATTACCTATATCCTTCGATGTCAACATTTACGAGGTCAGTCACAATGTTTGACACTCTATAAAGGCCAATATCATGTTATAGGTGTTCTATTAAGACCTAGTCAGACACCTAAGCTAGAGAACCACCATCCTTCAGAGCCGCCTGAAATCTGGCTGAGTGGATGTCCTACAGCTAGGGACTGAAAGCACAGCCACCCCAGGCTGGTAGGAGGGCAGAGACGCAGTGCTGGCCGGTCCCACACCCACGTGTGGTGAATAATGGGAGAGATGTCTTGGCTGCAGAGGTCTACCCCAAGAGCAAGGGGTCCCTGGCCCACACCATACTGCCGCCTAGGATTCCAGGACTGGGAAGAGACGTCACATAGCCTCTGGCTGTAAAACCAGTGGGGCTGTGGCTGGTGACACAGAGGCCACTGGAGTCCCAGGCAGTTCCTCCTAAAGGTCTGAGAGTTTTTATAATAGTTTTTAGTTAATTAAGAGAAAATAATCTTTAGTTATCTTATTATTTCTGTTCCAACTATTGGATCGCCTCCCTTCTGCCTCCCACTTCTTTAAACCTTTGTCTTTGCTATTGTCAGTGCCAAACAATTTACCACTTGGCTAATTATCTTAAGTTTTCTCCAAATCCACGTCAAGTTATTCAAGGCCAGGGCCCTGTAAGATTTCTTTGTAAGAGCTTGTGCTTGAAGTACAGATTTCGGTGACAAGCACGTTTCAGAGGATGTCAGAGAACAGTCACTGAAGGGAGTTAGTGCCACAGACAACCCCAGCCTCAGGGCGAAACACAGGCACAGCCAGGATCTCGTCCAACACTGCTGGCAGTGATCCGGTTACTTATTGTAGAAAAGGGCTCTCCATGTCTTAAAAACAAAACTCAGTGAGTTCTATTTGTTAAAAAACTGTTAATTCAGAGCTAACACAGCATCTAACATAAGTAAGACCTTTTTCTTTTGGGTGGAGATAGTTTAAACGTGAAAGAAGTGAGTATTGTGTGTGTGTGTGTGTGTGTGTGTGTATATATATATATATCTCAAACTTGCAAGGTCTGCAATCCAAACATAACTTTGTTTCAACGAGCTTTACTGTGTTATATTCATCGCTTCATTTCTGGTTTGTGTGTTTTTTTAATCATTTTTTTAGAGAGAGAGAAACATTGATTTGTTGTTCAGTTTATTGATGCATTCATTGGTTGCTTCTTGTATGTGCCCTGACTGAAGACTGAACCTGAAACTTTGGAGTACCAGGAGAGTGCTCTAACCAATGACCTACCTGGCCAGGCCCTATTTCTGTTTAATAATTAACTTATTTGTAATACAACTCACATAGTAATGATGAGAGTAAAACAGTTTACTTACTCCACCCATTGTAATTCCGTGAATAAATGCAACATACGGTTTCTGGCAAGAATCTAAAAGAAAAAGAATTGTAATTAATTGCAATGTTTAACATATTTTCCCCCAAAAACAAACAAACAAACAAAAAACATTACATGAACTGAATATTTTCCCAAGGAAATGTTTTGCAAGAAATATCAAGGCAGACTAAACGTGTGGCCTGTAAAATGTTCTTCTTAAAATGACAACCCAGCCGAAACCGGTTTGGCTCAATGGATAGAGCGTCGGCTTATGGACTGAAAGGTCCTGGGTTCGATTCCGGTCAAGGGCATGTACCTGGGTTGCAGGCATATCCCCAGTAGGGGGTGTGCAAGAGGCAGCTGATCGATGACTCTCTCATCGATGTTTCTAACTCTCTATCCCTCTCTCTTCTTCTCTGTACAAAATCAATAAAATATATATTTTTTTAAATGACAACCCATAAACAATCCTGATCATCTGTTCATTATCATTTAACAACTCAACCCTGCAACTGGGAACAAAGAAAAGCCTTGTTTACCTCAGCTCCTGAGAAATATGACTAACAACTGCCTTACAAGCCCCTGATGTCTATGTACACAGCTGTGTTTTAAAGAACGTAACTTGTTTTCTATAGATCTCAAGGAACTGGATACGAAGCGTAGCATAAAAGAGAAGCGTAGCATAAAGGAAAAAGCACGGCCCAGAAGCCAGAGACCCAGGCTGTAGTCTCAGCTCCATCATTAACTGCCAACTCAACAGACACTGGCATTAGGCACAAATGCACTTACACACACCGGTTCCATGCATATCTATGTGTATATCTGACAGGGTGTCCCAAAAACTGTGTATACACTTCGAACGGTTATTAAGTCAGTGTTTATTAACACACAGTTCATTTTCAAAAGTTAAAGAGACTACAGATATGAGTAATTTTTTTGCCAACGCCTGTTTTCAACCTGATGCCCATTCTGGTCCAGACACTGTGATAGCGCGAAGCAGTGGGGTCGCAGACATAAAGGGTCCTTCTGTTCAGCATTTGTGTGCCTCAATTTGTCAGCTATCGCCAGTTTTGTACCATGAACTTTATCTTTTATGTATCTCCGTAAAAAAGGCCTGGCAGCACTTCAGGATACATTTTCTTTGCCCAAAGCTGAGTCAGACTTCAGCCATTATCTGAAATCGGTTAAACCTAAAAAGGAGTGAAAATTAACCCTTTGCACTCCGCTGTCCCCTCTCAGGGGACATTGCAGTTTATTAGTGCTTACAGGGAATTGAGTTAATTCAACGCACGTTTCTGCCGTTAGCGTCGAGTAGCTGGTAGCCAATGTCCAGAATGGTTCGGAGTGCAAAGGGTTAACTGAGTTACCGGCTGCTGAAGTCTGTATACATTTTTACGAACACCCTCTATATAACATATAGTTAAGTCTGTGGTGAAAACCCAGAGTGTGGTCTGGGCGGGTAAACCATGAATTAACCACACTGGTCTCTGCAGAGGGGTAGCAGCTGCCTCTGGGGCAGACATGGATGACATGCCAGGAAAGTCACAAGGCAGACGGAGCTGTAATTTTATTTTATTATTTTTATTTTATTTTATTTTAATAAATCTTTATTGTTCATATTATTACAGATGTTCCTCTTTTTTCCCCCTTTCCATTGCTCCCCTCCACCAGGTTCCCAACCCACCCTCTGCCCTTTCCCCACTCCCCATTGTCCTCATCCATAGGTGCACAGTTTATGTTCAGTCTCTTCCCACACCCCCCTCTCCCCTTTTCCCCGAGAATTGTCAGTTCATTCCCCTTCCATACCTCTGATTCTATTATATTCAACAGTTAATATTGTTCATCAGATTTTTTTTTGATTTTTTTTGGTTTTTAGATTCACTTGATGATAGTTAAGTATTCGTTGCTCATAGTTTTTTATCTTTATTTACTTTCTCTTCCAAAAGAACTCCCTTCAGCAATTCAAATAATTCTGGTTTGGTGGTGATGAACTCCTTTAGCTTTTTTTAATTGGTGAAGCTCTTTATCTGGCCTTCAATTCTGAGTGATAGCTTTGCTGGATAGATTATCTTTGGCTGTAGGTTCTTACTATTCATCACCTTGAATATTTCTTGCCATTCTCGTCTGGCCTGCATGGTTTCTGTTGAGAAATCAGCTGACAATCGGATAGGTGCTCCTTTATAGGTAACTATCTGCTTTGCTCTTGCTGCTTTTAATATTCTCTCTTTGTCTTTTGCTCTTGGAATTTTAATTATGATGTGTCTTGGTGTGGTCTTCTTTGGATTCCTTTTGTTTGGAGTTCTGTATGCTTCCTGGACTTGTAAGTCTAATTCTTTCACAAGGTGTGGGAAGTTTTCTGTCACTATTTCTTTCAGTATGTTTTTGATATCTTGCTCTCTCTCATCTTCTGGGATCCCCATAATTCTGATGTTGGTTCGCTTGAAGTTGTCCCAGAGATTTCTTAGATTATCTTCAACTTTCTGGATTCTCTTGCCTTCTTGCTCTGCGGAGGAGTGTCTTCTGGCTCTTTATGTTCCAAATCTTTAATTTTAAAACGCGTAGAATCCTACTTCTTCTACATACATGGTACAACAGCAAGCAAAATGAAGCACTGGTGCCTGAGCTCCAGGGCTGGGCCGCACACAGCACTGACTGGATTATCCGCTGGAGTTTAACCTCTAAACCCAGGATCTGAACATCAACTACAGAGACGTCTCATCCCCAAGTTCTCTAGAATCAGAAAATGATTCCTCACTTTACCCAGAAAACTGGGACCCATGGCTTCTGTTTTCCCAGAAAGCCAGCCTTGTGATCAGAATCATGTTTTCATATCGACTGAGTGACAAACGAGTGAGGACAGACAGCCTACTGATAGGAAAGTGTCAGCTGTTCTGGAATGAACAGTCCGAATAGTTTAATCAAATTTACTTATGGCTGACACACAGCATATGAAAGGTTAGTAAGATTATTTGATTACATTTTCAATAATTCATACGTTAATGCTGCTTTTCTTGGTTCCGTTTTCAAAGCTGTCAGCAAAGCACGTACCAATGGCATTGTTCAGCACATACTCTTCTCTGAAGAAATCCCGGCTTATCCTCCTGTCTCCCTTCACCACTTCTGAGATTGTTACAAAAAGAAAGAAAGAAAGATTATAAATTTTTTTTAAAAGTGTTTTCTAGTCAGTAAAATAAATTTAAAATATTGTAATACTCAGTACCGGGGAAAACTCTAGAAGGATTTGTTAATGTTTTGAAATTGCCCGTGCCACGGATATGTTATAGTCAGCCCCAGATCCATAGTCCCATGTCAAAATTTCAAAGGAAAATTCTTAAGAACTTCCTACAAAATGTTACACTTAAATGTATAAGTTATATATTGCTACAAAATGCACTTTCTTTTGACTGTTTTCTGTAGCACCTGAATAAATATTTGGTGGATATACATTTATTTTGGTAGTATATATCTGTTTTTTTTAATTTATTGATTTGAGAGAAAGAGAGAAAGGAGAGAGGGAGGAGGGGGAAGGGGAGAGAGAGATAGAGACATGGATTTATTGTTCCACTTATTTATGTAATCATTGGTTGACTGTTTTTTAAAAATATGTCATTGATTTTTTTGCTGAGAGGAAGGGAGAGGGATAGAGCTAGAAACATAGATGAGAGAGAAATATCGATCAATTGCCTCCTGCACACCCCTCAGTGGGGCTGTGCCCGCAATCCTTGACTGGAATCGAACCTGGGACCCTTCAGTCTGCAGGCTGATGCTCTATCCACTGAGCCAAACCGGTTTCGGCAGTTGGCTGACTCTTGTATGTGGTCCTGACCAGGATAGAACTCACAACCCTGGTGCATCAGAACGATGCTCTAGCCAAAGCAGCTACCTGGCCAGTGGTGACATATGTATCAAGTGTACTACACATACACACAGAGTGGAATATATATATATACATATACACACACACACACACACACACACACACACACACGTATTCCATCTAATTCAATATTTCTGCCACTTTCTTTTCCCCACACAACATTTACTGAGCATCCACCATGATTGTAGCACCATGCACCATTTTAGGTGCTACAATCATGGGGACAGTGCTCTACTGGTAAGACAGTGGCCCGGAGTGCAGCCTGGAAAGAGGACACTGAGACACAGTGTCGGTGCGATGCTCACGTCAAGGCTGGAAAGAGGCTCCCAGAAGACACAGTCTGGGCCAAGTCTGAACAGTGAGGGATTTCCCAGAAAGTGACAAGGAGTACTTACAGAGGCACAGAGGCCAGAGGAACAAAATCAAGAAGGAAGCAGTTGTAAAAGACTGAAGGAGAAACACAGAAGGAGAAGCTAGAGGTCACTAGATAGTGAGACCATATTTATTAATAATGCAAAAGGAAATCCATCTCCCAAAGGTGCTGCCGCGGCATGCCGCTGCCTGGCGTGACCCAGAGGCGCACAGAAAACCGAGTCACCAGCACTCCCAAGCGGTTTCCTTCCTGTGGCAGTCACTGTCCTCCCAGCTCCACGCTGCCTTCCTCCCGCATAGTCACACCACTAGGCCCTCTCCCCCTCACTGCAGCACAACGCCCTCCGTGGCGAAGGCCTCTGAGGATTACCACTAACATACAAATGAAAGGGACAGTGTGTCTTCTGTATGGGCAAGTCACACAAAAACTGCTGACTATAGTTTTAAACTAACTCCAGCCCCTAATGTGATCTTCCTTTAGCACGCTCCAAATCTGGCCTCTTTCCATGGTTATTAGAAGACGGTCTCAATATCTCTGTCATTCTGAAGCTCTCCCTGATTCACGCCCCAAACTCCTCCACCTTCTGCTCAGTCCCGACCACCACCTGCCATTCTCCCAGGAAAGGAGGGATCTTATGTTTCCTCCTAAGCTTATTCTAATCAATCATTTCCATATAAAATTAATGACCTTCACAATATCATTAAATTTTTTTTTTCTGCATGCCCACTCATTGTTCTGAACTGTGATCTTGAAAGAAGCTAAATTTCCTGGACTTGAAATCCCTGTTTTATTTCATGTAAACTAGACTAATTCTAGAATTTGTAACTGTATTTCCAAACAACAATACAAAGTTAGGCTTTTATGCAAAAATAGTCTAAAGAAGCTAAAAATCAATACATAAGGCTCCACTCACCTTTAAACTGACAAGTTAACTACATGAGAATATATTACCTTTTTAAAATTTCTACAAAGTAACCAAACAATGGGGCAGTGGGCAAGCTTGCTGACACTTTATCGTTCTGTGGATGAGCACTCAGGGGAGAGGGGGCTTGTACCTCTGATGTCTCCCCCAGCACAGAAAGCCTTCTCACCGGCGCCCTTTATGATGATCAGGTAGGTTTGGGGATCCTGCTCCCACTTCTAGAAAGAAGACAGAATAAGCACAAGCTCATTAAGATACGGGCACTGGCACAGACACACATCCTTACCTGTGTAAACCGATAGACCACTTTTGCCCGCCCCCCTGTGTACATATCATATGTGATACATAGCATATCCTTATAAGGTATGTCCAGAAGAACAGACCCCAACTTCACTTCTTTTCAGACGTAAATAGAGGCTATGCCAATGTAGGCTGCCAATGAATACACTTTGTGACCCAACTTTCACGATGGCATCTGATGTCTTTGCCGTGACTTCTAGACAAAAGTTAAATATATATAAGGACTTAATACAACTACGGGTTGCATAAGTTTAGTAATCCATCCACAGGTTGTTGATAAACAGAGAAATAATCTTTCTAGTGTGTTGATATAGGGCTCTGTCCTACTGACAAATTTATAAGTGACAGAGAGAAAACACACAGACCAAATCTGAAAGCTGGGGCTGATAAGGCCAGCTAAAAATTAAGTAGGATAAAAGAACCAAGAGCCAGTGTAAATTCAAACGACTGGAACTATGGACCAATAAGATATTAGTTAACTCCAGACAGAAGAGCTAACAGAGGTGCTGTGAATTCACACTTGGGAACAGAAGTACGGATGCCCAGGAGAGATGCAGCTGGACAGCCGGTGGAAACGTGGCGTTCTACAGGAACTCTTCTTGCTTCCTCTCCGGCCCACCTCGAACCCGGAACACCGGGCTTATTTCTCTGGGTCACATTTAAGAACCTATTACAAGGAATTCCAACAGACACAGCACAAGGGAAGAGAGACTGGTCAGGTGAAGAATGGAGAGCAGGTGGCCAGGGAGAGCTCGCCTCTGTGTAACGCCATGTGGCTGACCGTACGAGGCCCACTGCCTGATTCTCTCCGCAGCAATCCAAGGAGGCCCTAGCATCCTCGCGCACAGCAGGAGAGTGAGACACAGGAGAGTGAGTGATAAACAGAAGCCCAGCTTTCCAGCACCAATGGTCCCGCTTAGAGTTATGATTCCCCTGGGCCTGCAGGTCACTTAGAACAGGAAAGCTGACGGATGGCCTTCCAGAAAAGGCTGGCCACGCAGCTAAAAAGCAGTGGTCTTCCATCAGAAGGCTGCTGCCGTGGGGAAGCCGAGTACATTGTGCCTTCGCCAGGCCCACGAGGCAGAGCCAGTATCGCTGGGTAAAAGGCGGGGGGAATGGAGAGGCAGGACAGAGGAGAGATTTAGAGCCTGGGGAGTGGAGGAGCCGTCTCCAGGGGCAACGCCCGCCCTGCCTGGTGCCTCAGGGGACCCGCAGGGCCAGCGCTGAGCTAGGAATCGATGGACGTGGGCCGATCCCAGACAGCCAATGACTCCACGGGGAAGAATGCCAGAAGAGGGCTATGAAGGAATTTTAACGTGGCAGATACAATTGCTGTGAGGAAACGACCCACCTTCAGCTGCGGGTAGATCTGCCGGATCATGCTCAGGTTGAGGGCGTTGAGGGCCTTGGGTCTGTTCAGGGTGATCACCCCTGCGCAGCCCCTCCTCTCCAGCAGCACCTCCGCGGCCGCATCCGTGTGGGCGCACAGCCTCTGTGAGGGCAATGACAGCTTTCATGGAAGCAGCGACACCAAAGGCAGAGCCTCACACAGGCTCGGGTGACCCCATCACCCGGTGACTGCGTCCATCTGATAGACCGCTCCAGGGAAAACCACCACACGTACCCCACACATCCTTACATTTGTCCTCTAAGTGTAGGGAGTCAACGTGGACGATGAAATACCCTTACATCTCTTATTACTTATACCAACCAACATATTAGCTACTTAAAAAGCAAAGATGAATACACAGGGCAAATAATTCAGACTACAGTGGCTACCAATAACTTGGAAAAAGTTGGTATTTGAGCTGGGCCTTCATATATGCCAAGAAAAAAGGGGGTGATGATGCTACAGAACAGTCCATGCAAAACATAGCAATGAATATTTGAAAATGAACCTGAGCAGAATAAAGGCTGGTTGAGGAATGGTGCTGGGAAAGGAGGAAGAACCAGCAGGTGTAAAATGAAGGCTTCCATGGCACAGGCATGAAGAACCTGCTCCCATGCTCCCATGAGGGCCTCACACACCGGAACTTAATCCCCAGTCTCACTGCTCAGGGCCTAGACTGCTGACTGATGTAACACCGGAGTTATCATTCAAGCTACACAGCAATTCCCAGGTCTCCGCTACACACAACTGACCAAGGCCAATGGCTCCACCCACTTCATACATTCCTTTAGGGCAGTGGTTCTCAACCTTCCTAATGCCTCGACCCTTTAATACAGTTCCTCATGGTGTGGTGACCCCCAACCATAAAATTATTTTTGTTGCTACTTCATAACTGTAATTTTGCTCCTGTTATGAATCGTAATGTAAATATCCATGTTTTCCGGTGGTCTTAGGCTCCACAGCCGCGGGTCTCAACCTTTCTAATGTCAGGGCCCACAGGTTGAGAACCGCTAGCAGGGTCACCTAAGACCATCGGAAAAGACACATATTCACATTGCGAAGACCCATGCTCTTATCCGCAGCCTGCCTCAGGCCGCCTCCCACAAGTCATGCTGGTCAGGCACCATTCCTCAGGGCGTACCAAGGTCAGCACCTGCCAGTCTTTCTCTTCTTCCCAAACAACGGCATTGTGAGCTGCACCTCCTAACCTACCAGGCCAGCAAAACAAAGCCCCGACTTACCAAGTGTTGCAGTATGACATGAGTCCTTTTGAATGCGTTAAACCTGAAACAAATGCAGGATACAATGAACACAATAATGTGAGAAGTCACATTTCAACGTATAAATACTATACGCATTGCTTTAGTCTCTTCGGAAATGTATTAAAACAAAAAGGTGTGTGGTTTTTTTAAGATTTAGGTAGAAGAGGGCAAAGGGGGATAAATGTGACTGAAGTAGACTTGACTTGGGAGTGGATGGTGAACACACAGTATAATGTACAGATGATGTGTTAAAGGTTATACACTGAAACCTATGCCACCCAACAAATTATATAAAAAACAATGTCACCCCAATAAATTCAATACAAAAATTAAAAAGGCTTAAGTCTCATTCATTGCTGGTAGAAACAAATGTATGGCCACTTTATAAGACAGCTGGGCAGTTTCTTACAAAACTAAACATACTCTACCATATGATCCAGCAACTGCACTCCCTGTATTTATCCAAATGAGTTGAAAATATTTTCATAATAAAACCAGTGCCTAAGTGTTTATGGTAGCTTTATTCACAAGAGCCTAAACATGGATGTAACCAGAGGTCCTTCAATGGGTAAAAGGATAAATAAAATGTGGTATTTCTACACAATGAAATATTAATAAAAAGAAACCAGCTACCATTCCACAAAGGCACAGCGGAATCTTAAATCCGCACTGCGAAGCAGAGGAAGCCTTTCTGGAAAGATGTCCCGTGCAGGCCATTCTGAAAGAGCAGAGCCGTGGAGACAGGAGAAGGCCAGAGGTGGCCAGGAAGAGGGAAGAACAGGTGAAATGCAGGGGAGGCTTGGGCGGTGGATTAAATTAGCCTGTATAATCGCGGTGGTGGAGAGTAGCTTCATTTTAAATGGAACTCAATACTCCAGGACCCACTGTTCAACTGACTGGGGAAAATACTCTCTGCGTCCAGATACGCCCAGATGGCCAGCAGCAAACAGTCATCACCACGAAAATACTGCCTCCTCCATCAGGAAGAAAGATCGCAGGAAGAATTGGAGGGAGGGAGCTAGAGGGAGTGAGGGTGCGCTCCTGCACACTTACGAAAACACTGCCAAGTCTTTACTCAAAAACGTTCTGCCCCGGGTCAGTACAATTCCCAGACACCCAGTGAGAGGACCTCACAGCCAGCCTGTCTGCTTTCTGTAACTGGTCGGGACCTGCGGGGCCAGGGCACCAGAGGAACAAAAGGAGGCTGGCCCTGCCTTCTTGAACTTTCCCAAAGCACAAGGCAAGACCCTGCCCTACAGCACCCCTGGCCCCACCTCAGGGCGGTGGATGTGGTGTGTCAGGGCGCCGGATGAGCCGAACGCAGACCACAGCGGCAGTCCCTGAACAGAGGACTGGGGCCACACAGCTGGAGGCCAGCAGGAAGGCATGGCTTCCCATCACTAGCAAGCAGCGTGGGAACAGACCTGCGCAGTGACTAGAGGACAGTGCTGAGCTCCCCCACACATCCCCGAAGGGTACGAGTGCGGGTGGGGAGGGGGTCTGTGGGGCCTGGCACCCCGCAGTGTCTCTCAGAGCGTTACCACCTCTTCTTTGTACTATAGCCGTGGACCCCAAGGTTGTGGAGACGCCCCTGGCTGAGTGATGAAGGCTGGGGTATGTATGTCTGCTTCCCCTCAACCACGTGACAGTTTTGGAGCCAATGGGAAGAAAAGAGAAGACCATAAACTCAGAGTTACTTAAACTCAGTTACTTGGGGACTCTGAATACCTGAATACACGTATGAGTCAGAAGAGAAGTAATCCTATGAAATAAAGGCCTAGGTGGCACCGCACCACGCCCTCCCGCCAAGATGGCACCTCAAGATGGCCAGCAGGGAGGGCAGTTGTGGGTGATCGAGCCAGCAAGAGGGGGGAAGTTGGGGGGATTGGGCCAGCAGGGGAGCAGTTAAATGTTGATCAGGCCAGCAGGGTAGTGGTTAGGGGGCAATCAAGCTGGCAGGCAGGTGAGTGGTTAGGAGCCAGCAGTCCCAGATTGTGAGAGGGATGTCCAACTGCCAGTTTAGGCCCGATTCCTATGGGGTCCCAGATTGGAGAGGGTGCAGGATTTTGTGCACCGGGCCTCTAGTGATTATATAAAATCTGGTAAGGAACTTAGTGGCAATTCGGTTTGCTTGTTTTCTGCTTTGGTCCAGAGATTTTTTCGACCTATGTATGCAGCACTCAGTGAGTTACACCTGCATTTGGCAGGTTTTTATTAACTTTCCATGAGTGAAATAAAATTGTCTTGCACATAACACTGGGACGTGAAGCTAGGCCTGTTCTCCTGTTTACGGGCTGCAGGAAGTGTAGAAGCTGTTACATAAAGCTCGCCAATCTGGCAGCACATCTCTAACCTTGCTCTGGCATTGGGTACTGGCCTCAGGAAGGAATTCAAAGGTGTTCTGACTTAAAGAAGAGAGCTCTCACATTTTCTGCTGTTAAAAACAAGTTCCAAAAAGATAGAACGGAGCTAGGTTTTTAAAAAACGTTAGAAATGGTGCTCCCGGGTAAGCCTAGTTCAGATTTTAAATGACTTATGAAAACCCTACTTAGAAAACGTCCCTAGGTAGGCCAGGCTCTGTCACTTCACCCTGAACTCTGGGATCGACACATTTCTAAAAGCACCGACTTTACAGACAAAACCCCTGTGCCTGTGCCCACCTCCAGGGCTTAGGACTTCCCTGGTCTCGGCTGTGACCCAGGCCTCGGCTGTGTGCAAGTCTGCAGGTGACTCTACTGTGCATACAAGCTGTGGCGTCACAGGCCGGCGCTCCCGGGAAATTACCCCACAGCTCAGCCCAGCACGGAGACCCAGCTCCCCGGAAGCACTCCTGGGCCCTCTCCCTGAATGCACTGGGGGCTCAGGCTGCGGCCCCGGGCCCCGGGCTCCGCGGTGCTAGGCTGCCACTGCCCAGAGCTCCCCGGCCAGTTCTGCCCCATGGAGGGTGGACGGAAGCCAGCCTGACCTCTGGGGGTGACAAGCCCCTGCCCGGGTCAGCCAACTTCGTTAGTAACCGGGACTTCCCCGCTGGCTACGTGACGCCGTTTGCCCACTTTCAAAAGGAGCAGAGCGGGATTTGGGCTGCTTTTCTCAGACGCCACCGAACCTCTGAGCTGCTCGGAGGCGCGGGCCGCTCGTCTCACAGCATGAAAAGTAAAGAACGACCCCTCCGTCTCTTCACACAGGGCCTGACACTGGGCCTGTGGACAGTGTCCCCCAGCAACGCCTTCTTCAGGCAGACACTCCCGCCCAGCGCGGGCGGAGGGCGGGGACCCGGCTCCGCTGCCAGCCGGCCGGCCGGTCCCCCTTAAAGGGGCCGCAGGGCAGCCGGCCCCCCTTAAAGGGGCCGCAGGGCGGGTGCGGCCCCCCTTAAAGGGGCCGCAGGGCAGCCGGTCCCCCTTAAAGGGGCCGCAGGGCGGGTGCGGCCACCCGCCGGGACGCCAGCGGGCGGCGGGCACAGCGTCGGAGTGAGGGCTCCGCACACGCGCTCCCCCGCGCTCCGCCCGCGGCCGGCCGGGAGCTCCGGGCACCGGCGGGGCCGCTCGGGGCACCGGCGCCGGAGCACGGGGCGCCGGCAGGCCCCCGCCCCCCACTCCTCTAGCGCCAGCCGCTGTGCGGAGGGAGGAGTCCCGCAGCGTCGGGGCGGGAGCGCGGGAATGCTTCCAGCGGTGCTGGCCGGAGGGCGGCCGGGGCGCCGGGCGGGCCGGGGCGGGAGTGTGGGGTCCCCAAGGGCGACTCGGAGCTTCCGGCCGCCGGCCCGGCGACACTTCCTCCCGCAGGCGCGCGCCGCCGCCCGCCGCCGCTCACCTTGACACGAGCCCCGACATGTCGGGCGGCCTGAGCTCCAGAACACCGGCCACCACACGGCGGGGCGGCGCTCCCACAGGCTGCTCCGCCCGCGTCCGGCCCGCCCGCCGCCCCGCGCCCCCGGAAGCGGATGACAGCTGAGGGGCGGGGCGGCCTCGGGAGCTCCCGTACGCAGCGCTGAGGGGCGGGGCGAGAGGGGAGGGGCGGGGCCTGGGTGACCGGGGGCGGGGCTAAGGCTGAGGGCGGGAGGGGAGGGGCGGGGCCTGGGTGACAGGGGGCGGGAGGGGCGGGGCGGGGCCTGGGTGACTGGGGGCGCGAGGGGAGGGGCGGGGCCTGGGTGACAGGGGGCGAGAGGGGAGGGGCGGGGCCTGGGTGACCGGGGGCGGGAGGGGAGGGGCGGGGCCTGGGTGACTGGGGGCGGGAGGGGAGGGGCGGGGCTAAGGCTGAGGGCGGGAAGGCGGGGCCTGGGGCGGAGGGGCGGGGCCGGGGGCGGAAGCGGCGGCGGAGAGCAGACGCGAGCTGATTGGCAGGAAAGAGGTTCTCGCCCAGAGGCTCTTGGGGGACGCCCCGTGGCCTAGGCTGGGCGTGTTCCTTCACCAGCAGAATTTGACATGGGAAGCGTTCCTGGAATTTTAACCTCTTTAAATTAAAAATGTAAATTTAGCCGAAACCGGTGTGGCTGGGTCCCAGGTTCGATTCCGGTCAAGGGCATATATACCTTGGTCCTGGGCACATCCCTGGTGGGGGGTGTGCAAGAGGCAGCTGATGGAAGTTTCTAACTTCTATCCCTCTCTCTTCCTCTCTGTAAAAAAATCAATGAAATATATAAAAATAAAAATGTAAATTTAATAGTCTTTTATTTGAGGACTTGATCAGATGAAATGCCTCCACAACAGGACATCGATGACCCAGAACTTGCACAGAAGGAAGTCGCTTGATGAGTTAAAGACACAGCACAACCGGCCTGTCCGCTCCCCCATTGGCCTCAGGTTTTACCAGAATGACTTGGGATCGTGAGGGTGGAGATCCAACGGGTGTGGCGTAGGAAACAAATAGATTTTTGTGTGTGACAAATGTTAAGGAAGCCTCTAAAAATTGTATTTTGAATGCTTAAGAAATTAAAAGCACTCAATACACGATTCCCTATCAAATTAGTTTCATTTTCATATCGGTCATGTGATATCCAAAAGACAGGTTGTAAAACTGTTAACAGTTCCCAACATAAAGGTAGGCAAACATTCCAAAACAAAATACACAAAAGGAGTAAGCAATCGGGAAGTAACGTTTGAGATAACAGAGTTTGCAATAAAATGATTTTACACACGAGAGTCATCAGGGAGGATCCAACAAAAGCTGATGTAAGGTCTCCCTTAGATGACTAACCAGGGGAACGTTCAGGAAGCTTGAGAATGGAAGGAAATGACTCGCTGATGATGTGCTTGCTCCACGGGTCACCTTTGTGCCAACAGCACAGAACTCGAGGCCCACCAGCAGGCGCTGGGCGGGAGCTGACCCAGAATGTTCCGGCCAAGAATGTTCCGGCCAAGAGCAGGGAGCAGCAGCACAGCGTTCCTTCTGGAACTTCCTGCTCCGGATCCCAGCCTTCCACTCACCTGTGAGGGGAACCCTCAGACCCTAAGGATCCACATGCTTCCAGGCTTGTGCTATCCTTTATACATCTGGAAAAGATGAGGGGGGGAAGACAGCTCGCATTGTATGAAGTTTAACATATAGACTCTGTGTGTGTGTGTGTGTGTGTGTGTGTGTGTGAGAGAGAGAGAGAGAGAGAGAGAGAGACTAAAGAAAATCACTCAAGCGCAGTGAGAACTTGTGAGAGAGAAGCGTATAGTCCCACACATTGCCACGTTACTGTAAATACACCTGCCCGACTTGTTCCAGAAATGTGTCCTTCTATTTAGACACCTCTGCCACCTATGGTCACTCTACCACCTTCACCTCCCCCCAGTGTATGTAACGCACTAAACTTGCCTTAAGAAAGACTCAGAGTGTTAAATATTCCATCACAGACGTTAAAGATTCCTTCCCTACATCTTTTTAAAAATCACAGCTGAGCTTTGCGTTCACAAGCGTTATCTAATCTTCCCGAAGACGCGCGTGAGTGATTTATATGACTTACGGTCACGACGTGGACACAAAGGTCAGATTGTGCGCTGGATGCTGGGACCGCTTACGGCTAAACCAGTTCCAGCCAGTACCCCTGTGGGCGGCCCACGCTGTCCCCTCCCCATGAACCGCCTGGTCAGCTGTGCACGGACCTCGCAGAAGAGCTGCAGGCGGCAGATGCTGCCAAACTCACAAGACCAGTGTGTGTGTTTGTGGGGTGCCGAAGGGGGAGTGACCACCTCCATCTGGGGGAGTAGATTCAGAAAAGGTTTTCTCACACTGCAAACTAAGGTGCTTTGTTGTCGCCCGAGCAAAGTCTCTTTTCTTTTTGCTTGAATGCAAAAACAGCATGTAGTCACTCAAAGAAACGCAAACACACAACAACAACAACAACAAAACACAAATATGTACAGTCACGCCCCCAGCCTGAGACCTCTAACAACATCTTAATGTGTTTCTGTCTTTTAGCTCTTGTTCTATGCTCATATACATGTACGATTCTGCTGTCTTTGGGATGACAACACAGACATTTGTTTGTAAACTGTGTTTTTCCACTCAAGTCACAAATCCTCATGCAAAAAACATCATCTGCAACTTGTTAAAACTTTTAAAGAACTTGTTTCCACCGGGTGGCGTGGCTCAGTGGCTGAGCATCAACCTCTGAACCAGGACACTGTTCCATTCCGGGTCAGGGCACAGGCCGGGCTGCTGGCTCCATCCCCAGTGTGGGGCGTGCAGGAGGCAGCTGATCAATGATTATCATCATTGATGTTTCTTTCCCTCCCTCCCTCCCTCTCCCTTTCTCTCTGAAATAAAACAAACAGACTTGGTTCCTCCTCTCTGGTGACCCATTTCTGTCTTCAGACACTTAGCGCGCGCGCTCTTTCTCTCTCGCTCTCTCCCGCTCAGCAATTACCAAGTGCACTGTGGGCACACGTTCCTGTGGTCCCTCTACTCTTTGCGCACACTCTGCCCACAGGCCATTTCCAGACCACAGCCCGCGAGCTGCTAATAGCTTTCATAGTTTTTAAAGGTTAAAAAAAGACACATAAAGAAGAAAAGTAATAAGAGACATATGTGGCCTCAAAGCCTAAATATTTGCTATCTGGGCTTTTAAAACCAACCTCTGTCAATCCCTGTATTATGAGTCCCAAGAAATGCTATTTTTGAGTCAAAGAATGTGAACATTTTTTGAGGCTTTGGCTGCGCTCTGCCAAATTGAGGAAACACTGAAGCAGCTTCTGTCCTCCTCAGGCCTGGGTGCCATTGGCCAGGCACCGGCAGGGGCACTGCCCCAAAGGCTAGCCAGCACTGCCAGTTCTTTTGTTCTTAGCCTGAGCGGCTTAAGTTTTCACTTCCCTTAAAAAGAGCCTTGGCCGTTTTCTTTCTTAGCTTAACTAATTTACATGTTTGCTTATTAAAAGACAACAGCAGGGCATTTTTTTTCTTTGTAAGGCCTTTTGAGCAAACAAGGATGTCACACTTGCCGAAACCGGTGTGGCTCAGTGGATAGAGCATCAGCCTGTGGACTGAAAGGTCGCGGGTTCGATTCCGGTCAAGGGCATGTACCTTGGTTGCGGGCACATCCCCAGTAGTGGGTGTGTAAGAGGCAGCTGATCGATGATTCTCTCTCATCGATGTTTCTAACTATCTATTCATCTCTGTAAAAAATCAATAAAATATATATTTTTTTAAAAAGGATGTCACGCTCTTATCTATCTTCCTATCTACCATGTTTTCCCAAAAATAAGACATCCTTCAAAAATAAGACCTACTTACAGGTTTCCTTCTGAGTGAAATATAAGGCATCCCCCCGAAAATAAGGCCCCCCCTAGGCTAAACATGAGAGATTTGGTCCACTGATTCTGAAAGAAATGGAGTCACAAGAAATTCACCAGGAAATTCAGGAATTGGATTGTTATGATGATGTTCCAGAAGATGATGACATGATTGTCATTGAATAAATGAGTAAATTCTTGATACTGTAGAATTCACAGTTTGTCTGGTTTGTGTTGACAACTACTGTACTACCGTACCGTATACAGGTAATAAATTTCCTTTATTTTATTTTAACAATAAATGTGTACCGTATTCTTCTTCATCGAAAAATAAGACATCCCCTGAAAATAAGATCTAGTGCATCTATGGGAGCAAAAATTAATATACCCGTATCTTCCGGCGTATAAGATGCCCCCCTAATTTTACAGTTAAAACATAGGTTTAGGCCTATATTCACTGTATAAGACTATCCCCCACTTCAAAGAAAAGACTCACTTTGCCGTCAAGATCTGCAGGTAATTTTTGGGCAATTTTGGTCTTTTGCCCCCGATTTTCAGTTGACTTTTTTTTCCGTTTCAAACGTCGTCTTATACGCTGGAAAATACGGCGTATAAGTAAGACACTGTCTTATTTTCGGGGAAACAGGGTATCTATATTTTAATGATTAGGGATGCTTTTAATGATTTTTTACTTACCTTTAATTTTATTTAATGGGTCTTTTTGACGAAAAAAGTTAAAAATGCTATAGTCAAGCCTGCCACTTTTCTAATTTTGCCCTTAATTTCATGCTTACTTTGAGATAAAAAGCAATTCACTTATTTTTTAAAAAATACAAAAACATTTTTTATTGGTTTCAGAGAGGAAAGAAGAGGGAGAGGGAGAAACATCCATGATGGGAGAGAAACACCTACGGGCTGTCTCCTGCACACCCCACACTGGGGTATGGACTGTGAGGGGGCCTGTCCTGGGGATGGAGCCGTGACCCCTGTGACCTCCGGGCTCACCCCGGAGCCAGTGGGCAGGTTCTCAGCACCATCTGCTCGCCCCAGGCTTCCGTCTTGGGGCTCCGAGGGCCGGGCTGACGCCTGGGGAGGCGGTGGCGGTTTGGAGAGATTCCGGTAAGAAACCCTGTAAAAGGAGCTTTCCCCTGGCAGGCCCTGGGCTGGGAGGGTGACAGGGGTCCTCTCCCAGCCCGCAGCCTCCCCGCGCACCTGCTGGGCCTGCCCGGACAGCCCTGGGTGTGCGTGGTGGTCCTGGGTTAGGGGGGCCCCTGGGTGGGGCGCCATGCGGTGTGACAGGCAGCCTCCCCCTGCGCCCCTCCCTTCTCCCCCGAACTCTGCTGCTCCTCCCGCCCGAGCCGCGCCCCCGCACAGCTGTCCTGGGCCTGGTGCGGGCGGAGGGCTCAGAGGGTGCCACCCAGGGCCCCTGGCAGGGGCGAGGCCCGCACCCCGGCGAGCACCCGCGTTTCCATTAGAAACGGGCCCCTGCCCGGCCCCCTGCCGCCCCCCAAAGGCACCGAGGGGCACAGTCCGCCTCCACCCGGGGCTGCGGGCGGCCGGTCCGATTCCATCTCATCATTGACCTCTCTCTCTCTCTCTCTCTCTCTCTCTCTCTCTCTCTCTCTCTCTCTCTCTCTCTCTCTCTCTCTCTCTCTCTCTCCCTCCCTCCCCACCCCCCCTCCGGAACCAATGGAAATGCAGATTAGAAATAAAGCCTCTGGGGCGGCCACAGGGCCCAGGCGGGGTTCGGGGACCGGAGCTCCCCGCCCGCCCCGCTCCCGGCGGCCCCGCCGCTTGTGACGCCCGCCGGCGGGGGTGCGGGCGCCGGGCGCCGGGCACCGGGCACCGGGCACCGGGCACGGAGGAGGCGGGCGGGGGCGGGGGCAGGCGGCCCGGTCCCTCCTCCGCGCCCTCCGCCCCGCCCGCCCCGGGGACCGCGCAGGCCGCCCGCCTCCCCGCCCGGTTCCCCGCCCTCCGCTCCCGCCCTTTCCGTCCGGAGCGGCGCCGGCCGAGGAGCCGGGTCCTCCCGCCGCGCCCTCCGCGCCCTCCGCGCCCGCCGGCGGCGCTCCCTCCCCCATCGCGGACGCAGGTGAGTGGCGCGGCCTGGGCTCCGGCCCCCGCGCGCCCGGCCCCCGTGGCCCCCGGTGACCCCCGCGATCACCCCCCATGGTCCCCCCGTGGCCCCCGGTGACCCCCGCGATCACCCCCCATGGTCCCCCGTGGCCCCCGGTGACCCCCGCGATCACCCCCCATGGTCCCCCCGTGGCCCCCGGTGACCCCCGCGATCACCCCCCATGGCCCCCCCGTGGCCCCCATGACCCCCGCCATCACCCCCCATGGTCCCCCCGTGGCCCCCGGTGACCCCCGCGATCACCCCCCATGGTCCCCCCGTGGCCCCCGGTGACCCCCGCGATCACCCCCATGGTCCCCCCGTGGCCCCCGGTGACCCCCGCCATCACCCCCCATGGTCCCCCCGTGGCCCCCCGGTGACCCCCGCGATCACCCCCATGGTCCCCCCGTGGCCCCCGGTGACCCCCGCGATCACCCCCCATGGTCCCCCCGTGGCCCCCGGTGACCCCCGCCATCACCCCCGGCGACCCCGGACCCCCGGCCCCGCGGCGGGCCGCTCGGTCCCCGCAGCCCGCCGGGCTCCGCTGCTGCCGGCGCGGCGGGCGGAGGGGAGAGCGCCTGTTTTCGGGTTTTAGCGGGTTTTAGCGGGTCCCGGCTCCTCGGGCGGAGGCGGAGCGGCCCGGATGCCAAGGAGGACGGCAGGGCGGTGGCGGCTGCCGGGCGCCCGGCTCTGCTCTCCCGCTGCGCGGAGCTGGGGTCCAGCCCCGCCGTCCTGACCCCGACCCTGACCCTCATCCTGACGCCCCGCCCTGACCCCCATCCTGACCCCCATCCTGACCCCCATCCTGACCCCCCCGCCCTGACCCCCATCCTGACCCCCATCCTGACCCCCATCCCTGACCCCCCGCCCTGACCCCCATCCCTGACCCCCCGCCCTGACCCCCATCCTGACCCCCCGCCCTGACCCTCATCCTGACCCCCGCCCTGACCCTCATCCTGACCCCCCGCCCTGACCCCCATCCCTGACCCTCCGTCCTGACCCCCGCCCTGACCCCCATCCCTGACCCTCCGTCCTGACCCCCGACCCTGACCCCCATCCTGACCCCCCGCCCTGACCCCCATCCCTGACCCTCGGTCCTGACCCCCGCCCTGACCCCCATCCTGACCCCCATCCCTGACCCCCATCATGACCCGCCGCCCTGACCCTCCGTCCTGACCCCCGACCCTGACCCCCATCCTGACCCCCCGCCCTGACCCCCATCCCTGACCCCCATCATGACCCGCCGCCCTGACCCCCATCCCTGAGCCCCATCCCTGACCCCCCGCCCTGACCCCCATCCTGACCTCCATCCTGACCCCCATCCCTGACCTCCATTCCTGACCCCCTGTCCTGACCCTCTGTCCTTACCCCCGTCCTGACCCCCATCCTGACCCCCATCCCTGACCCTCCATCCTGACCCCCCGCCCTGACCCCCATCCTGACCCCCATCCCTGACCCCCGACCCTGACCTCCATCCCTGACCCCCTGTCCTGACCCTCTGTCCTTACCCCCGTCCTGACCCCCATCCTGACCCCCATCCCTGACCCTCCATCCTGACCCCCCGCCCTGACCCCCATCCTGACCCCCATCCCTGACCCCCGACCCTGACCTCCATCCCTGACCCCCTGTCCTGACCCTCTGTCCTTACCCCCGTCCTGACCCCCATCCTGACCCTCCGCCCTGACCCCCTGCCTTGACCCTCCCTCCTTACTCCCGCTCTGACCCCCCGCCCTGACCCCCATCCTGATCCCCATCCCTGACCCTCCATCCTGACCCCCCGCCCTGACCCCATCCTGACCCCCATCCCTGAGCCCCCATCCCTGACCTCCCACCCTGACCCCCATCCCTGACCTCCAGCCCTGACCACCATCCCTGACCTCCCACCCTGACCCCCATCCCTGACCTCCATCCCTGACCCCCATCCCTGACCCTCCATCCTGACCCCCCGCCCTGACCCCATCCTGACCCCCATCCCTGAGCCCCCATCCCTGACCTCCCACCCTGACCCCCATCCCTGACCTCCAGCCCTGACCACCATCCCTGACCTCCCACCCTGACCCCCATCCCTGACCTCCATCCCTGACCCCCATCCCTGACCCTCCATCCTGATCCCCCTCCCTGACCCCCATCCCTGACCCCCGCCCTGACCCCCGACCCTGACCTCCTCCCTGACCCCCATCCCTGACCCCCGCCCTGACCCCCGACCCTGACCTCCTCCCTGACCCCCATCCCTGACCCTCCATCCTGATCCCCCTCCCTGACCCCCCGCCCTGACCCCCCTCCCTGACCCCCGGAGGCCGGACCGTGCCCTGGCTGCCAGGCCTGCACGTGGAAGGCGGTGGTGCCAGGCAGAGCTGGGGGCCGGGCCGTGGGGGGCAGTGGTGGGTGTGGACGCATCGCGGAGCCCGATGAGTTACCATCGGCGGGAAGACGCGAACCCGCAGCCCAGCGTCAGACAGGATGGCCACGTTCAAAGCAGAGTTTGAAGCCAGTCCTACCGTGCCCACAGCGAGTGGCACCTCAGAACAGCAGGCCGGGCTCCCGCACCGCCCACGGGCCCGCGTCCCTCTCCAATGGACCCGCGTCCGTCCCTCCCCCACGGGCCCATCCCTCCCCCACGGCCCGTCCCTCCCCAATGGACCCGCCCCTCCCCCACGGCCCCATCCCTCCCCCACGGCCCCGCCCCTCCCCCACGGCCCCGTCCCTCCCCCACGGCCTCATCCCTCCCCCACGGCCCCGTCCCTCCCCCACGGCCCCATCCCTCCCCCACGGGCCCGTCCCTCCCCCACGGGCCCGTCCCTCCCCCACGGCCCGTCCCTCCCCAATGGACCCGCCCCTCCCCCACGGCCCCATCCCTCCCCCACGGGCCCGTCCCTCCCCCACGGCCCGTCCCTCCCCCACGGGCCCGTCCCTCCCCCACGGCCCCGCGTCCCTCCCCCACGGCCCCGCCCCTCCTTTTGGCCCCTTTCCGCGGGGCTGGCTTTGGAACCCAGGAGGGTGACGGGGTGGCGCTGCGCAGACCGCAGTGGGGGTGCGGGGACAGAAGACCCCGAACCGGGGAGCGACCTCGTCCTCGCCTTCCTAACGGGCTCTCGGGGAGACCAAGGCAGTGGACGTTTACTGCCTCAGTTTTAAAAAATATGTATTTTTATTGACTTCAGAGGAAGGGAGAGGGCGAGAGAGATGTCAGTGATGAGAGAGAATCATTGATCGGCTGCCTCCTGATCTGATCAAGCCCGTAACCCGGGCGTGTGCCCTGACAATGACCAGGAATTGAACCCGTCACCTCCCCGTTCATACGTGGACACTCAGCCGCTGAGCCGCTCAAGCCGCCAGGAGGCCCTCGGAGAGATTTTAAACACTATGCAGAGCAGTGACAATGGCCACGGCCCCCACAGGCCCTGGGGCGGAGGAGGTGGAGGGGCCGCTAAGCCGCCGTTCTCCCCGGAGGCATGGCCCCTCCCTGCTCCCCGCCTGCTCGCTGGCGCCCCGGCCTCCCGCCCGCCCCTGTGCAGAGGCCGGCCGGCCAGCCGGCCCACGCTCTCCAGCACGGGCACCCGGCCCCAGATCTCCCTCAGCGGCCTCAGAACACCCCAGGGCAGGGGCCCTGCAGATCCCAGGGGCCTCGCCCGCCGCTCCCAGAGCCAGGGTTCCTCCTGACGCCCAGAAACTGCCCTCCGGTCGGGCCACCCCGGGAGCCGCTCGGAACAGGAGGTGCCCGGGTGTAGAGGCAGGTGACGCCAGGGCGCGGCGGTGACCGGACAGTGCTGGTCTCGCCTTTTCCCGGTTAACAGCCGCCTGTCACTGTCGGCTCTCGCAGGCTCTGTGCGGGGCTCCCCGGACTGTCTCACTGGCCCTCACGGTCTGCCAGGGGCCACTCTCCCTCCACCGGAGCGGGGAGGCCCAGGGAGGGAGGGAGGCTGCCGGGGGCCACACAGCTGGTTCCCGGGGCTGAGCCCAGGTGTATGGGGTTCCAGCGCAGTCCCCCTGCAGCTGTCCCCCACACCTGGGCGGGAGGACTGTAAACCTCTGCTGTTCGGCCAGGGAATCGGATGGTCAGGAATGAGAAGAGTTTTATCTCCCTCTCCCTCCCTCTCTCCCTCTCTCTCTCTCCCTCTCTCTCCCTCTCTCTCCCTCTCTCCCCCTCCCCCTCCCCTCCCTCTCCCCCTCCCCCTCCCCCTCCCCCTCCCCCTCCCCCTCCCCTCCCCCTCCCTCCTCTCTCTCTCTCTCTCTCTCTCTCTCTCTCTCTCTATATATATATATATATATATAATTGATTTTTACAGAGAGGAAGGGCGAGGGATAGAGAGCCAGAAACATCGATGAGAGAGAATCATTGATCAGCAGCCTCCTGCACCTCCCCCCACACACACTGGGGATGTGCCTGCAACCAATGTACATGCCCTTGACCGGAATCGAACCGGGGGCCCCTCAGTCCGCAGGCCGACGCTCTATCCACTGAGCCACACCGATTTCGTCAGAAGAGTTTTACCTTGGTGGGCGATGGGCTTCCCAGAAAAGCCTAAAGGTGCCCTGCCGCCCCCTTTCGCTGACCTGCTCCAGGGAGAGCCTCTCTCGCCACAGAAGCGGGAGGCCGTGGTGGGCGCTCACGTGGTCGTCTCCGCCCCCTCCCGCTCGGACCCCGTTCCGAAGAGGCTGGCACGGAGCGGGCGGGCGCGCGGTGGCTGGGCCGTGAGAGCGACGGTCCCCGCGGGGGATCGGCTGTGCCCCGCTCACCAAGGCACTCGGGCCCGGGGGCCGAGAGGTGCAGCCCCCTGGAGCCGTGGTCGGCAGACTGCGGCTCGCGAGCCACCCGCGGCTCTCTGGCCCCTGGAGTGTGGCTCTTCCACAAAACACCACGGCCTGGGCGGGTCTGTGTTGAAGAGGTGGCGATGGGCGAAGTGGAAGTTTGAAAAACGTGGCGCTCTCTCCGGAGGAAGTTCGGAGGTGGTCCTGTTGGTATCTGGCTCTGCGGGCTCATGCGTTTGCCGGCCACGGGGCTAGCACTGGCCTGGGGAAGCGGTGAGCGCAGGATTTCAGAAGGGGACTGGAGGCGGAGACAGGCCTCAGGAGCAGCCCGTTAAGTGGGGCCACGTGTGAGCCCTGATTGAGCCCCGATTCCCCGCCCGGTGGCTTTATAAGCGGGGGAGGCGCACCAGGAGGCTGAGCGCAGCGCGGAGGGGCCACGGTGAGGCCACGGCGAGGCCCGGCGAGGAGGAGGCCGCCCCCAAGCCCCGGAGACACCGGCCCCAGCGCCTCGGTCCCGGACCTCCGGCTCCCGATCTGTGAGACACAGACCCTGAGTCTAAGTCCCCCGTGGCGGCCTGGCGCTGGGCAGCCCGAGGAGGCGGTGGAAGGGAACTGGGTGCTGGCAGAGCTGAGCCCTCCCTCGCCGGAGGCCCCACAGCCGGAGAGAGCGGGGTGGGTGCGGGTGAGGGGGGCGCGGAGAAACGTCAGTAGCGAGGTCAGCGCGTCTGCAGCGAGGCAGGTGCCAAGTAGCGATGTCCCGGGTCAAACACAGCAGCTGCCAGGTGTGAGCTCCGCGCACCTGGACCGGGATCGGCCCCACACCTGGTGTGTGCCCTGACCGGGATCGCACCCGCACCTCCCGGGGGCGGGACGAGGCTCCCCCAGCTGCGTGTCTCAGTTGTTTTCCTCTTGGCTGACAGCAGTGACGTGGCCCCATGTGACCTGTCCTTCAGGACCATGTCTGAGGACCGCATAGTCTAGCGCCCACGTCGCCCACCTTTAAGGTTATTTCCAACTTGCTGCTGTCGCCAGCCCTCCTCCTGGCACTGCAATAGGTTCCCCCCTCCCCGACTTCCTCTCAGGCCTCACGGCGGGCCTGGAGCTGAGGGCTGGAGGGCAGGGCATCTCCGGGGGCGGGGGTCTCCCTGCGGGGCGGCTTCCCGCCCTCCTGTGAGCTCCCGCCTCTGCTGCCCTTCCCTGTCCTCTCATCCCTGTGGAGGCGGACACAGTTCTCAGGTGGTTGACCCGTACTCTTAAGAAAGTAGCATTGAAAGTTTTTTTAGCAAACGTGTTCAACGCAAACCAGCTGTGGCCACTAACCATGAACCCGCCGCCGCCGAGGGCTCCTGGGGCTCGTCCTCATCAGCTCGGAGGCCAGAAGGCTCAGGCCCAGCAGTGCGTGGTTACTCACTGTGTTCTCTGAAATTCTCCCCGCTGGACGTATTCAGCGGGGAGGGGGGGGGGCCGGGAGGCTGCCGTGGTTGCTGGCCCGGCGGCCTCAGTCCTGCCGGGCACACGGCGCTCACAGGGCCTCCGTGCTCAGGAAGTCACCCCAGAACTGGTAGGACACACCCTCTCCACCCACCTCCCCATCAGGTAAACGGGAGAACCCTGCGTCCACCCCGCAGGTGAGCATCCTGGTCCCTGAGAGAAGCTGGCTTCCCTTAGCCCTCGCTCACCTGTCTGTCTGCAGGGTTCGCACGTAGAACCCAGGTTCCCGTCCAAACGCCTTCTGGCACCGAGATGTCGGTCCTTGGCCTAATGGGCTTTCCAGACAATCGATATATATCTTTAAATATTTAAAAAACAAGTTTCCGCCTGACTGGCGTGGCTCAGTGGTTGACCAGGAGGTCAGGGTTTGATTCCTGGTCAGGGCACAGGCCCGGCTGTGAGCTCTGTCCCCAGTGGGCATGTGCAGGAGGCAGCCCATCCACAGGTCTCTCATCACTGATGTTTCCCCCTCTCCCTTCCTCTCCCTTCCTTCCTGACATCAATAAAATAGATGTAAACAAACAGAAACAAGCGGCCGCCGTTGGCTGAGGCCCGGCCGTCCCCTGAAGCGTGCCTGGTGCGGTGGGCACAGGGGTGGCTGGGAGGTGAGCTCCTGGCTGGTGCCTGTTCACAGCGCGTGTTCCCCATGAGCTGCTGTCCACCCCTCGGCCCCCACCCGGCGGCCCCCGCCCCACAGCCTTCGCTCAGCCTGCCCGCCTCGCCCCCTGCCATGCCCACCGCGCCCCCTGCCAGCGGCCAGACTGGCGGCACGGGCTCCGCGCTCTGAGCACGCTCTCCCCTCCTCTCTCCAGCTGCCGGGGGCCAGGCCGCCATGTCGGCCATCCTGCGGGAGCTGCTCCGCGTCTCGGAGAAGGCGGCCCACATCGCCCGCGCCTGCCGGCAGCACGACGCCCTCTTCGAGCTGCTCATTGAGGAGAAGAAGGGCGAGGACAAGAACAAGAAGTTCGCCCTGGACTTCAAGACGCTGGCCGACGTGCTGGTGCAGGAGGTGATCAAGCGGCACATGGAGGCCAAGGTAGGCCCACGCCTGCGGGCGCCCGCCCCCTCCTCCGCCCCCTTAGGGCCAGCACCTCGGTCCACATACACTCCACCGGGGGGCTGAGGCCCCTGGTTCTCACTCACTATAACGTTTCTGGCACGTTCACTGCAGGAAATACAGGAAAATTCAGTTTGAAAATACAGGAGAGCAAATGAAATAAAAACCAGTCCCCGTTCTCAGAGCTAGAGAGAAACAGGCCTTCCCCTTTATTGAGCTTCTTTTTGAATAAGTCGCGCGCGTTCTCGGGAAAATAAGCAGACATCATCCCCCAGGAGAGAGAACCTCAGCTGTTCGGCTCCGTGTGGTCAGAACGTTTCCCCTGTATGTGTGCATGACACATATCATTTATTGCAACAGAAATGAGAAAATGCTATTTTGATAACTTTAAAAAAGAGTTTGATCTGTTAAGTCTCACTTTCTGACATAATCGAGTAATGCTCATAGAGTTCTGGAGTCTTATAGTCCCCCTTTGTTCCACTAGAAAAGTATTATTTAGAACTAACAATGATTGTGGTTCCAGTGATTTTAAACTGATCGGGGCAGGGCTGTACTCATGAATGCTAATAATCACTCCACTAACAGACACGTGCAAATGCTTATTGCATGCCGGACACTGCTCTAAAGGCTTACTTGACTTCTCAGCTCTTAGAACAGTTTTGTGAAGGACTAGTAATCCCGGGAGAGGGTGAGGAAAGGCTGGCACAGAGAGGTAACACAGCAGGCGAGTGAGCCAGTTTTGAGCACAGGCCACATGGCTCCAGTCTGCTCTGCCTTGCCGTGGCTTCTATCGGATCGAAAGATTACACCCTCAGGAGGACAGAGCTTGTGAGGGAAGGCACTATAAGGTATTGGACTAGTTCTCTATGAAATGCTCAAAGTTTAGGAATCAGTAAGAATCATTCACTCTCTCATCATGGATGTTCCTCTCTCTCCATCTCCCTTCCCCTCTCTCTAAAAATCAACAAAAACATTTACTAAAAAAGAGAATCATCTAAATGAATTCCTGACCACAGGAAGGAAGAATAAACAACCCTTTGTTTGTTTGTTTTTTAGTATATTGATTTTTTACAGAGAGATAAAGGAGAGGGATAGAAACATCGATGAGAGAGAAACATCGATCGGCTGCCTCCTGCACACCCCCTACTGGCGATGTGCCTGCAACCAAGGTACATGCCCTCGACCGGAATCAGACCTGGGACCCTTCAGTCCGCAGGCCGACCCTCTATCCACTGAGCCACACCGGTTAGGGCTAAACAACCCTTAGAATCCTCTACAAACTACACTTCTCTGTGCCCTACGATGCCTGCCCCTTTGGGCTGAATGGGGCAAGCTCCTCGCTGATCCTGACTGAGACAGCCATGGCAAGGCCTTGCCGAGCAGCTGGTTGAGGGAAGTGCCGCATGCAGTTTGGCGGTGTCTCTGCCCACAGCGTTACAGCACGTCCAGGCAGGCTTCGCTGAGGAGGTGCGGGCCAGGACTGAACGGAGAAGTGAGGCTCCCCTTTGGCGAGAAGGAAGAAACATCTTTGTTTCCTGACTCGCCTCCCACAGCCTCAGACTCAGGCTGTAGGCGGGCGGGGAGCCGGGCCCAGCCCGGCGGGCGCGCCCTGTCCTCAGAATTGGGTGCCAAGCGGGTGTGGGCGTTATCACGCTCCTGCCGCTGGCGGGTGGCTGAGGGCACGTACTGGGAGCGCTCCTTGCCTTCCTCCCCTGGGAACATCTCACAGACCGGGAGTCGGCACGGATGTGGAGGGAAACATCTCTCCTGGAGAGGCAGAGGGATCGGAACGCTTCCTGGTCCTACACAGATGGGAGGAGAGTCTTCCTGAGCTCTGTGTAAACAATTTTAATTGATTTCAGAGAGGAAGGGAGAGAGGGAGAGAAACATCCATCGGCTGCCTCCTGCACGCCCCCTCCTGGGGATTGAGCTGGCAACCCAGGCCTGTGCCCTGGACCGGAATCTAACCCAGGGCCCTTCAGTCCGCAGGCCCACGCTCTATCCACAAGCCAAACCGGCTAGGGCAGCTTTATTTTTTTTTAATTCTATATTGATGCATAAATTACTGGTTCATCAAATATCTCCCTTGTCTGGCTGTATCACCTTCCTACCCTGAAGGTGAACCAGACCTCCAACAGGTGCAGAAAACACAGGTGAACATGGAGGATGAAAGTAATGTTACCTTCTCACCCCCTTCTGTCTGGCTCAAGTACAGTCTGCGGTGCTTGATCAATAACGCTAACTTACCTCAGCGACCAGGGTGCTGTTTAAGAGCAGGAGTTAACATATTTCCTTTGGAAGCATTCTACCCCGTTTCCCCGAAAATAAGACAGTGTCTTATATTAATTTTTTCTCCCAACGTTGTGCTAGGTCTTATTTTCAGGGGATGTCTTATCTTTCCATGTGCCAGGTCTTATTTTCGGAGGATGTCTTATTTTCGGGGAAACACGGGTAGTCCCATGGCCCTTAAGGAAATAGAGGAAGTTTCTAGAAATACTTCTGCAAACTCACCAGGACAGAAGGAAGCTAGCTTTCTCCCCTGACTTGCACTTTCTAAGGGCGGGGGAGCAGGGAAGACTTAGTGAGCTAAGTGCTGAGCCACCCTGGCCTCCCTGAGTCACACTGAGGTGGGCTTCCAGAATGGCACATTCCTGAACTTCACGCCTAGGCGTGCTGCTCGCTCTGAAGTAGAAAATGGGAACCTGTTCAGAACGGAACGTGTGTGCGTGCGTGCTTGTGTGCGTGCTTGTGTGCACGCACGTGTGTGCGTGTGTGTGTGTGCCTGTGTGCGTGTGTGTGTGTGAGTGTGTATGTGAGTGTGTGAGTGATTGTGTGTGTGTGTGCGAGTGTGAGTGTGTGAGTGAGTGTGTGTGTGTGAGTGTGTGTGTGTGAGTGTGTGTGTGTGTGTGTGTGTGTGTGTGTTGGGGGGTGTTGTTCTTGCTTTGGCTTGTTGTCATCCCCTGCATTGTTCAGTTTCCAGGCTTGGAGGAGAAAATTTTGGGGGAAGAGTCCAACGAGTTTACCAATGCTCTGGGTAAGTACACAGGTGCTCATGTGTCGTTGTCAGTTTTATGATCGTATCCTGTCCTAACTTCCAGCTTACATTCTAATGGGTGCTTGGGAGCCTTCCATTAAACGACTATATATTTGAATATTAAGCTCCATTCAGAATTCCAGGCCATTTAACTTAGGGAAATGAGGTATCTTAGATGTAAACATGTGGCATTTAAGTAATGTATGATTTAACCCTTTTTTTAAAAAAAATATATATATCTTTATTGATTTCAGAGAGAAAGGGAGAAGGAGAGGGAGATAGAAACATCAGTGATGACAGCGAATCACTGATTGGCTGCCTCCTGCACGTCCCCCACTGGGGATCAAGTCCGCAACCCGGGCATGTGCCCTTGGCCGGAATAGAACCCAGGACCCTTCAGTCTGCAGGCCAACGCTCTATCCACTGAGCATCACTGTCCAGGGCTTAACTTAACCTTTTTTTTTTTTTTTTTTTAAATCAGAACTTTTTAAAAAATATATATATTTTATTGATTTTTTACAGAGAGGAAGGGAGAGAGATAGCTAGAAGCATCGATGAGAGAGAGACGTCGATCAGCTGCCTCTTGCACACCCCCCACCGGGGATGTGCCCACAACCAAGGTACATGCCCTTGACCAGAATCGAACCTGGGACCTTTCAGTCTGCAGACCGACGCTCTACCACTGAGCCAAACCGGTTTTGGCTTAACTTAACCTTTTGGAAAGTTGAGTGGTCCTTTGGGAATCTAATGGGAGTTACAAATGCCCCAGAAAGATGTGCTTCTTCAGAATAGACCACGATTTCAGGTCAAGGTCTAAACTCAAAACCCACATGTGGACCTCCTGTGCTTCTGGCCGTGGGCAGCTCCGGGGCCACGGACACGGGCCCGTTGCCCTGAGCGCACCGCCTTGCCCCCTCCCCGCTGCGGTCCTTTCCATCACTCTGAGATGCCGTGCCTGTCTCTTCCCTCCAGGGGAAAAGATCGTCCTGAGGCTGTGCCCCACGGAGGCAGAGACGGCCGAGCTGCTGAGCAAAGTCCTCAACGGGAACCAGCCGGCGGCCGCGGCCCTGGCCAAGGTCGTGCATGAGGACGTGCCCTTCGCCGACCAGGCCCTGGATTCGGTCCAGGTCGCCATTCCACAGGACACGATGGGAATCTGGGTGGACCCCATAGGTCAGTGGAGGGTTTGCTTTCATTCGTTTGTTTAGTCACAATTGGTTCTGTGTGTGTGTGTGTGTGTGTGTGTGTGTGTGTGTATGTGTATGTGTATGTGGGGGGGGGATAGGGAACTTAGAATAATACAAATTGAGAATAGTTTAAAATCTTTACAGTTTGAAATGAAGAGTCGGGTAGGTGTTAGCACGTGTTGTTATAAACAGACGTGCACCTGTCCCCTGTAACAGATATGTATACGTGTTTGTGGATCTGTTGCGGGGGGGGGGGGGGGGTGCACACACACACGGGCGCACGTGCAGGGCTGAGTTCCCTCCTCTCTGAAGGGTGTCAGGGTCCAGGCTGTTCATGGGAGGGAGGAGGGAGCGAGAGCAGCCACACGTCAGGGCACACAGGCAGCCACGGGGCACACAGCTGCAGCGGGCACCTGCCAGGCGGCACCACAGGCCGGGTCCTCGGCTTCTCGGAGGGAAACGCAAGCCCAGGCTCGGTGAGGTCGCTCCCTGTAACCACTTCCTGCCAATTCAACAAAACAGGCAGTCAGCGCCGGCACAGGCCAGGCGAAGCCCTTAGGACTCCCCAGCCGTCAGCACGGAGGCCCCGTGGACACTTTTTCAGGTCACGACTGTGATAGAACCAAAATCTGTAGCTCATTGATTTTTGGTTGTGTGTGTGTGTGTGTGTGTGTGTGTGTGTATTTGTTTTCAATATATTTTTATTGATTTCAGAGAGGAAAAGAGAGAAAGAGAGGAACATCCATGATGAGAGAGAATCATGGATCAGCTGCCTCCTGTCCGCCCCCTACTGGGGACAGAGCCCACAACCCGGGCCTGTGCCCTGACCAGGAATCGAACCATGACCTCCTGGTTCCTAGGTCAACGCTCAGCCACTGAGCCACCCGGACTGGCTCTGTCTTGAGGGTTCGGATGGGGGCGGGGGCCACAAACGCTCAGACTGTCGCGGTTATTGAGAAGGACGAGATGCTGCAGGACCGCGCTCCCGGGTGTGCTCACCCTCACTCCTCCACGCCCGCGGCCTGAACCCCTTGCAGACTCCACGCACGAGTACATCCAGGGCTGTGCCGACGTGGAGCCCAGCCACGGCGTCTTCCCCCGCGGCCTCGCCTGCGTCACCATCCTCATCGGCGTCTACGACCTGCAGTCGGGGCTGCCCCTGATGGGCGTCATCAACCAGCCTTTCGTGACGCTGGACCCCGTCACCCACAGGTAGGGGGCCCCGTGGCGCCGCGGCTCCGCCAGCTGCAGGGGACCGCCCCGGTGGCGTTCCCAGGACGCGCCCCGCCGGGCCGGCCGCTGGAGCCACGTCCTCTGGGGCCTGGCCCACTGGCCGGGGGCGGGCCACGGCGGAAGCTCGGGAAGGAAGTGGCGTGTGGGCCGAGTCGTGGTTGTGCCTTTGGAAGAGAGCAGCCCTGCTCCCTGGTCCTCGAACCCGCGCCAAAGCAAGTGGCTGGCACGGGCCCGCCCTGCCCGCTGAGACCTTTGGAATGGGAGGGGCCTGTTGAACTGTCCCACAATTTTAGAAGAAGTTCAAAACCCAAACGTGAAAATCACCCAGAGAAAAGACGAGGGGCTCTGGCCCGGATTAGACCCTGCCTCCGGGGTGCTGTCCCTGTGAGAGTGAGGCCCCTCGCTCCCCTCCCTCCACGGAGCTTCGTGGAGCGTGGCGGGTGGGCGCCCCCGACAGGCCCGGGTGGAAGCACCGCTTCTCTCCTGGGGGTTCCGTTTTGATTTGTGGTTTCTTTTAAAATCCATTTTTACTGATTTCAGGGAGAGGAAGGGAGAGGGAGGGAGAGAGAGAAACATCCACGAGGAGAGAGAATCACTGACCGGCTGCCTCCTGCCCGCCCCGCACTGGGGATGGAGCCCGCAGCCCGGGCCTGTGCCCTGACGGGAATCGAACCCTGACCTCCTGGCTCACAGGCCCACGCTCAGCCCCGGAGCCGCACGCCGCCGGTTCCATGTTCTCCCTGAAGTGGGTCAGACTTGGTTAGGGCAGACTGCACGCTTCAGTCGTGCTTTCAACACGAAGAAATGAAAGGCAAATGTGAGCCCGGCGGTGGGCGTGGCCCGTGCTGAGGCGTGGCCCGGCGGCGGTGGGCGTGCCCAGGCAGTGGGGTGCGACGCTGGGGGCGTGGCCTGTGTGTGGGGTATGGCCCATGAGGGCGTGGTCCTGCGGGGGCGTGGCCCGTGGGGCGTGATGTGGCCCAATGGGGTGTGACCTGGTGATTGGGCGTGGTCGGAGGGGCTTGGCCTGTGGGTGCGGTTCATGAAGGCGTGGCCAGTGGGGGCGTAGCCCGTGGGCGTGGCCTGGCCTGGTGATTGGGCGTGGCTGTGGGGGTGTGGTTTGTGAGGGCGTGGCCTGGCGGCGGGGGCGTGGCCCGGAGAGGCGTGGCCTGTGGGGGCGTGGCCCTGTGAGCAGGTAGGCTAGGCCCAGGCCCGGGTGGGCCCGTCCCCGCGGGGCGGGGCGGGGCGGGGCGGGGCGGGGCGGGCGGGGCGGGGCGGGGCGGGCGGGGCGGGGCGGGGCGGGGCGGGGCGGGGCGGGGCGGGGCGGGGCGGGGCGGGGGCCGCTCCCAGGTGCTCCCCGGGCTGCCCCTCCCCCGGAGCGCCGGACACACAGGCACAGGTGAGGCTGTAAGGGTCTCACCAAACCCCTCTCCCCGCAGGTGGGAAGGACGGCGCTACTGGGGCCTCTCCTACATGGGCACCAACGTGCACTCCCCGCTGCCGCCCGCCGCCGAGCGGTGGGCCGGGCCCGAGGCCGCGGGCGGCGCCCGCCTCTCCGCCGTGGTCAGCGCCAGCGAGCGGGAGGCCGTGCGCGCGGCGCTGGCGCGGGCGTGCGGGGGCCGCGTGGTGCGCGCCGCGGGCGCCGGCTACAAGGGCCTGTGCGTGGTGCGCGGCCTGGTGGACCTGTACGTCTTCTCCCAGGACTCCACCTTCAAGTGGGACTCGTGCGCGCCGCACGCCATCCTGCGCGCCATGGGCGGCGGCGTGGCGAGCCTGCGCGCCTGCCTGGCCCCGGGCCCCGCGCCCCGCGAGCGGCCGCAGCTGCTGTACCACCGCGGCCACCCGGGCGCGCGCGGCGTGGACCGCTGGGCCAACCGCGGCGGCCTCGTGGCCTACCGCTCCCGCCCGCAGCTGGAGGCCCTCCTGAGCCTGCTGGCCCCGCTCCTGCCGCCCGGGGCCCTGCCTGCGCCCGAGGACCCGCCTGAGGACCAGCCCGCGCCCGTGGGTGCCCGGGCGTAGGCGCCCTCCGGCCGTGGACACCCAGCGTGGCCGGGCCCACGCCTGTCGCTGGCAGACAGCTCTGCTGTGGTGGCCAGCAGCCCCTCCCCGGAGGAGTGCCCCTCTGTGTCATACATGTAATTTCTGTAAATAAACAGTCCTGCAGCAGCGCCGTGTGAAGTGCTTGGGGGGTGCTGTCCGTGCTGCCGCCGCGGGGCCTTTAGACCTGGAATCTGATGCATAACTTAGCCAAGTTCATGTGCTTCCAACAGCATTCCTGTTATACGAAGGAAAGCCTGGGCCTCCTCTCCCCATCCCCACACACATACATTCTCACATGCATACACACACGCACACACACACACTCTCACATGCACACACACACTCTCACATGCATACACACACTCGCACACACACACTCACATGCACACACACATGCTCACACACACTCATACACTCTCACATGCATACACACACGCACACACACACTCTCACATGCACACACACACTCACATGCACACACACACATGCTCACACACACTCATACACACATGCATACATACACACTCACATGCACACACACTCTCACATGCATACACACACACACATGCTCACACACTCATACACTCTCACATGCATACACACACGCACACACACACTCACATGCACACACACTCTCACATGCATACACACACGCACACACACTCACATGCACACACACATGCTCACACACACACTCATACACTCTCACATGCATACACATACGCACACACACATGCACACACACTCACATGCTCACACACACACTCACACGCATACACATACACACACTCATACACACTAATACTCTTACACCCTCCCTCTCCACTCCTCTCTCTCCAGCCCTCCCCTTGCACTCTCCCCTTGCACACCCCTTGCACACTCCCCTTGCACACCCCCTGCACACTCCCCTTGCACACTCCCCTTGCACACTCCCCTTGCACACTCCTCTTGCACACTCCTCTTGCACACTCCCCTTGCACACTCCGCTGGGCAGGTGAGAGGGAAAGGACGGAGCAGTGGTTTCCGCAGTGTTTGCTCGGGCCGCACTTGAAGCCAGAGGCAGGCACAGGACTAGCTGCTCCTGGGCCCTCAGTGTCCGGGAACCATGTCCTGGGACCCGGGCCTCCGCTCCCCACCCCCACCACACCACACACACGCACACGCACACACACACACACCTGGTAACAGAGCACAGTCCTGGAGCAGGTGGGAGGCCAGCCTCTGCCCACCGCCACACCCTGTGACCTCACAGCCTCTGCTCAGCTCCGGACTGCACCCTCCCGCACCCCCCCCCACATGACAGGGGCCTTTTCTTCAGCAAAAACTGGACGTGGCTCTTTAAAACACCGAGCAGAGGTACAGGTACGTACCCGTCCCCGGCGGGCGGGCTCTCTCCCTGCAGCCCAGACCTCCTGGTCCAGCAGCCTGGTGAGGTGCAGAGCTGCCCTCACAGGCCTCCCTCTCGCCCACATCCTGCCACCTCTGGCGGCCAAGCCCATTTCTGCAGCATTTTCTTCACAATCACAAACTCCAACAGCATTTGGTTGCACACAGCTACTTGCTGAGTGACAGGGTTATCGCTCTCAGAGCCTGACCTGTGCTCGGTGGTTGACGGTGGACTCGCCCGCGGTTCAGGAATGGGTAAAAGGAGGTTTACAGTTGTGAGTGTGCAGAACAGGATTTATTCTTGTATTGTTTATTAATTATTGTTTTATTTGAACTATAATTGTAGATTTACTTTCCCCCACCCCATGTGCTCTCACCATTTAACGTGTAATGTTACAGGCTGATTGTTAAGTCACTGAGTTCATTCCTCACAAAACACACTATGAAGGAGCAGAAACAAGTCTTGCACCAGAACGGAGAACTGGAACACGGTTCAGGAGAAAGCCCTGGTCCCTGGCGGGGTAGCTCAGCTGGTTAGACTTTCCTCCTCATACACCAAGGTTGCGGGTCCGATCTCAGGTCAGGGCACAGACAAGAATCAACCCATGGATGCATCAATAAGTGGAACAACAAATTGATGTTTCTCTGTCTCTCTTGTCAGTAACAATTTAAGAAAAAGCTCTTGTCCATACGAACACTTTAGAATATGTAAAATATCAGTAAAATGCAGTGAGAACAGTCATCTTCAGTGTGACCTGAACAGGCAGTTTGTTAGTTCACTGGGATGCGGGGGAGGATGGGGGAAGCGGGGGAGAACAGAGACACGGATAGTCTGAGCATCTCACTTCCCGTCAGCCTCTGCGGAGAGCCAGGGCCCCTTTAAGTGCAGCCTCTGCGGAGAGCCAGGGCCCCTTTAAGTGCAGCCGCTGCGGAGAGCCAGGGCCCCTTTAAGTGCAGCCTCTGCGGAGAGCCAGGGCCCCTTTAAGTGCAGCCTCTGCGGAGAGCCAGGGCCCCTGTAAGTGCAGCCGCTGAGAGGCCTGCATTAATGCTCTTCATGACCCTCACTGGGGAGGGTGAGCTCTGAGTCTCATTTCTTTAGAGGAGGAGCTCAAAAACATTCGCAAAGTCATCTGAGAGCAGAACTCGGGATTTAAAAATGTCCCCTCTGTTTTTGCAATTGCCTTATATCTGTATCTATATCTATCTATATATATCTCTATATATTTATCTATATATCTATATCTATATCTATATCTATATCTATATCTATATCTATATCTATATCTATATCTATAAGGCCCATTGCATGAATTCAAGCATGGGTGGTGTCCGGCCAGCCTGGTCAGAGGGAGGGGACATGGGCAGTTGGCCAGCCTGCCTGGCTGGTCTAACTCCTGATTGAGAGGACAATTTGCATATTGGCCTTTTATTATATAGAATATACACTGAGTGGCCAGATTAGTACATGTTCAGAGATCATAATAATCTGGCCACTCAGTGTATATTGACTTCGAGAGGAAGGGAGAGGGAGAGAGAAATTTCTAAAAATTTTTTAAAAATACATTTTATTGATTTTTCACAGAGAGGAAAAGAGAGGGATAGAGAGTTAGAAACATCGATGAGAGAGAATCATCGATCAGCTGCCTCCTGCACACCCCCTACTGGAGATGTGCCCACAACCAAGGTACATGCCCTCAGCCGGAATCGAACCCGGGACCTTTCAGTCTGCAGGCCGACGCTCTATCCACTGAGCCAAACCGGTCCCGGCGAGAGAAATTTCAATGATGAGAGAGAAACATGGATCAGCTGCCTCCTACACACCCAACACTGGGGATGGAGCCCACAACCTGGGCATGTGCCTTGACAGGGAATTGAACTATGACCTCCTGGTTCATAGGTCAACACTCAACCACTGAATAACACTGGCTGGCTAATTTTATTTCTCAATTTTTTTACAAGAGTTGTTTGAGGCAAACTGTTGACATATGCTGGAGCAAGAAAGATGGCAAATGCTCTCCTGTGAACTTCCACCAATGTCCGCCAGGTGTCTCCAGCAAACATGCATGGTCATCGGGAGACACTGAAGACAATGATGGCCGAGTCCTTGTCTTGGCTAACTTCTGGCAATGGGCCACTTTTAAATGACATCATCCTATTTTAACACACCGTTTTCCTTAATGGTTTTATTGTGTTTAAGTTCTCATTACATGCTTTTTACTGGAAAATATGGGGAGGTAAAAAGGAGGAAAACCCCAAATCCAAACACTACTGCTGTTGACATTTAGACAACGTCCCTAAAATTGTTTTCCTTCTAAGCATAATTGGATGAAAATTTAAGCCATGGAGTGGGAGAAAATACTTATAATCTGGCAAAAGACCTGCATCCAGAAGATATAAAAGACTTCTTCAAATCAACAAAAAACGAGAGTATTTAAGAGTAAAGATGGTCAACATCACTAGTCATCGGGAAAATGCATTAAAACCACATAAGGGTACCATTGCCGCCCCCCCCCCTCCATAGCTAAGATTCAATCAATATCATTTTTTGTGAGAATTTGGAGCAACAAAAAGTCTCTTATAATACAATGCTGGTGGGAGCATAAGTTTATATAATTTAGGAAATATTTGTCAATCCTATCTAATAAAAGAGTAATACGCAAATTGACCATCACCCCAACACACAAGATGGCTGCCCCCATGTGGACACAAGATAGTCACCCCAAGATGGCCAGAAGGGTAGGGCAGTTGGGAAGGACCAGGCCTGCAAGTGAGGGCAGTTGGGGAATATCAAGCCTGCAGTGGAGGGCAGTTAGGGGTGAACAGGCTGGCAGAGGAGGGAAGTTGAGGGCAACCAGGCATGCAAGGAAGGGCAGTTGAGGGTGACCAGGCCTGCAGAGAGGGCAGTTAGAGGTGAACAGGCCTGCAGGGGAGGGAAGCTAGAGGCAAACAGGCTGGCAGGGTAGCAGTTAAGTATCAATCAGGATGGCAGGGGAGTGGTTAGGAGTGATTAGGCTGGCAGGCAGAACTATTTAAGATCAATCAGGAAGGCAGGCAGGCGAGCAGTTGAGAGCCAGCAGTCCTGGATTGTGAGAGGGATGTCCGACTGCCCATTTAGACCCGATCCTACCAGGACATCCCTTGAGGGGTCCCAGATTGGAGAGGGTGCAGGCCTGGCTGAGGGACACACACCCCTGTGCATGAATTTTGTGCACCGGGCCTCTAGTATTTCATACAGCTGAACACACCATTTCCCTTAACTATTTGATTGTGTTTTAAGTTTTCTTTTCATTACATGTTTTTTTACTGAAAAATATGGGAAAGTAAAAAGGAGGAAAACCCAACATCCAAGCGCTACTGCTGTTGGCATTTAGACAATGCCCCTAGAATTACACACCCGGCAGAGGGCGTGTGCGAACCCATCCAGAGGCATGCACAGGCGTACCCACAGCAACGCTGCCCCTGACGGGCAGAACCTGAGCACGGAGCCGGCGCTCAGCGCAGGGGAAGCGCAGACGTGTCACGTCCACTGACACGGAACGAGGCCGCACGGATGCCCCTCCCAGGCGTGATGCTGGATGAAAGGAGCAACGCACCATCCCTCCTGTGCGCTTCCGTGCACACGATGCTCACAACCAAGCCGAGCTAGTGGAATGTGCATCAGGGTCCCCTTCAGAAACGCGCCGCTGACGAGAGCCGCTGGCCAAGGTGACGCCCTCATCCCGGGCTGGGCCTTAGTGCC